TTCAACGCTGACTCAGCGCTGATCTCAACATTCGTTAAAATTCATTCCTTTTTTCAACGTTGAGGTAGCGCTGTTGTCAGCGCTGACTCAACACACTCAGCACTCAACAGATATGTTGACTGATATTTTCCAATGAATTGTGGGTAATTGGTAAGACATTTGAATGGAATCCATCTTGCTGAAAATGGAATTATGGGAACTAAGCACTTCGTACTCGAGTTGGAACGTCGTTAATGACGTCAAATTGTTGACTTCAACACTCAACACTCGCGTTGAAAATTGGAATGTCCCGCATGCAACTCTTGATTACTCACTCCCCCCACACTATTGTTTAGCTTACATGTTCGGACGTGTCACGCGGAATCGACGCATAGCTACAATTTATTTTGTGTCATTTATTTCTGTGTTTGTTATATCTACGGAGCCTTCAGAGATACTATGTGGTGATTTCTTGTAACCGTGAACGAATCAAAAGGCGAGATAAGGTTAACGAGAACATTTATTAGCTTACATACATCAGATTTGGATTTTACACAAATTGCGAAAATATACCCCGACTTACGCGGTTATTGCTCGGTCCCACCTATCGCGTAAGTTCGGGGTATTACTCTATTATGATATATTAATGTAAAGATTATTTGAAATTATAGCTGATTTTTTAACACTTCAAAATTTAGATAAACCTACTTTTAAATTTCTTCTTTAAAAAACAAAATCTATTTTAATTAAACATTGAAAATAGGTCACTACATTTCATTGACCAAATTGATTACTGGAAACCGTCGTAAAGCGAGCCATAGTTTCCTTTAGTTCAATTTAGTGAATTGAGATTATGTTCCAAGAAATGAGGTTTTAATCACATAACAGCACGTAGACAAATACTTAAATATGAAACTTCAAATAGTCATAACAGAAAATTGTATCAGCTGTAAAAATGAAGGATCATAGCGAACTGTCATAAGCGGAGTCAATTGTATTTGATAATTTGATATATTATGTAAGCACAATAATTAAAACCATATAAAACGGTTGAAGACTGAAATAAGAAGCTGGTTTATATTTTTAAAAAATCTAGCGACGAGTTGCTTAAGTTTCTCGGCAACACTTAAATCTGCATGTGTCGCCATCTGTTATGATATTTATTATTATTATATTATTGATATATTTGATGATATTTATTAAAAAACTTTATATTGTTAATCATTATAAAATTGCAAAAAGCTTAATTTTGATGTTAGGAATGAGTTTTATAAAAATATAAATGTTAGTAATGAATAAAATCATCACATCATTAAGTCCGACCTTACTGGAGATATGACACATTCTATCTCCCCACCCCGTCGATCCTTAACCACTAAAATTTAATATCATCAATTCCCCTAAACACAAATCACCCTGCAAAATTTCAGAAATTTTCCACAAAAACTCACAGGAGTTATATTAAGCTTCAAACAGGGTGAATGAAATCATGCTCCCTATACACAGACAAAAACCCGATTTTTTCTTGCATTTCTCGGCGTTTCAAGGTGTCACTAGTCAAAAAGTGTAAAATTCTGAGGGGGGTCATTTTTTGACCGATTACCACTTTCCCTTTGTTATATAGTAATGGAGCCGGGAAAGTAAAATATGTAGTTCAAATCTATTAACACGAAAATATGAAGTAATAAGATAATGATTTATACCATTTTTCCAAATTATTTTGCAATGTTACTAGGTAAAATACAAAGAATCAGAATCTTTCCCTTATATATTATTGATTATTGAATTGTGGTTGTGGTATTTAAAATTGGGAATTATTTTGATTTCAAAAAGAAATTCGGAAATTCGATTATTTTAACACAGTTACTAATCTATTGCTTCAAGCATTAAATAAAAAAATTATACATTTTAATTTTCTTATATTGTAGGCTAATTTTTAATTTCCAATCTAAAACTAATTTCCGATCGTTTAGAAGCCTATTTTTATATATTATAAGCCATAATCCTACATTAATGATGCTCGAATGATGTGAAAAGGCGTTCACTCGGATGATAAGGATTCCATTCTTTAACTGGAATAAATGTCTCCTATTTCAGATGATCTTATTAAGACCGAAGAGCGATTCTTCCTCAGTCATATTTAACCATCCTCCTGCAAATTGTCTATTAGGATAATGAGCAAACTTTAGGAACGTATTCTTGTTTAATCTAATTCCCCATTCTTAATTATGTCATTTCCCTAATTTTAGGACAAAACTTATTACTTTGCTTTAGAATTAATTCAGAAAATATTTTAGATAAATAGTAATATGACATTTAAATTTTTTAAATATTTGTATATTTAATTTTTTATATGAATCAATATTAAAGTATTCGGTGATAAATAACCGCCGGCTATTTTATATTATTAGTTCCAACAGGAAATGATGTCATATGAATTGTTTTAGTATCGGTTTCAGTTAATTACTCATGTAACTAGTTTGTTACTTTATTTATTTTTCATTCATAATTTAATAAAACAGCCACTACAGTATATTATATTATATAAATATCTGACTGAAGCTGAAAATATAGGCATGTTTATCAGCATGGCGCAAAAATGTATGACGTTGTCGTTATATAAATACAGTATAGTTATGATGTCAAACTGATGTATCAAGCATAATATACACAGTAATATAATGACGTAATAATGATTGTGTACAATAAGCGTCTTATAAGAAAAAAAAGGAGTACCTATAGACTAATATAAATGCTACTCTGGCAGGAAACGATTTAAATCATCTAGTTGAACCTCACTTCAATTAAAGCATCCATTTTTAAAGATTAGTTATCGAATTGAGAATTTAGTAGTAATAATATTGAAATTTAATTATTTCTGAGATTTTTTCTTGTTTTTATATTTCTTCTTGCTTTTTTTTAAATACCAAACTATTAGTAATTTCCTCTTATTTCACATAATACACATGCCCTTTTCTGATGTGTAGCTTATTCCTTAAATAAATTTCTATAAAATTGGAGTTATTTCCATTATTTCTTATGAGAAAAATTATAATTTGTTATGGAATATCTAAAAATATTATTTAAAGTATTTTAAACAGTGTTATAATAAAATTAATGTATAATAATTAATAAATGTGTAAAACACCAGTTATTGGTTTATCTTAAGTGATGGCAAAATCGCCATATTATAAATACCGAAAAGCATCAAATATAATGGACCATAATGTGTTAGAAATAGTACAACTAAAAAACGTCTACAATAAATACAGATAAATAGTAGTGTTGTAACGAATAGTATATTCGGCCAGGAGCGTGGCCGAATATTCGGCCAAACTATTCGGCTTGATTAACGCACCTATGAAAATTGGCGCGCAAACCGTATTATGGCAAAGATCATGCTCTCTATTGGCCCGCTGTCACTACGCTTCGCCAATCGCGTTAATTCTTGACAGTTGTAGCGGACAGACAAGAGTGTCATGGAAGTACAGTAGAACCTCGATTATCCGGACTAATTGGGGATGAACGTAGTCCGGATAAGGAAAAATCCGGATAATCGAAAATCCGGATAATGGAGGTCCGGATAATGGAGGTTCTACTGTATGTGATAAATGATGATATCAAATGTGGATAACAATGAAATGACCTACACGTGTAAATAACGGAAAAAGAAGAGAGAAGGACAGCGAAGTGAAAATGTGAAAATAAATATGAAATTGAGTTGATAACATAATCGAACAAGTCGAGGCAGCTTATTGGCACGAAATTCGCGGCCGTCAATGTCAAACAATTGTTGTCATAGACTTCGGAAAGCTAAATGCTTGTAATGAAAGTCACTTACCGTGCACGGGCGAAAGCCTGGGGCCTTTCGGGCTATCGAGCTGTCTCGAATCTGTGAAATCATAACTGACTTATATCGATGTCCTATCTGTCTCTTTTCTCCGTTATCACCAGCTGAGTCACGTAATTGTAAAATGGGAACTCTACGACGGAAAAGTGACGAATCGTGAGCGCGTATTATGATGTATGCATAGGCATACTTGGATTAGAACGACAGAGGAAAGAGAAAGGGAAGAGCAACGACGAGTGCTTAAAAAGAAGGATAGGCAATGTCAGACCCTCAGATGTGCGACGATTTTCGAACGAATAGGTGTGTACGTGTGCTGATCTTTGTAATTATAAATTGTGAATACATGTGACTAATATTATTTTCTTTTTTATTTTGTGCATGTTACAAGTTATAAATAAATATAAACAAACAACACTAACTCTATAACATTAAATACCAAAATGATTAATTTACTGTGTTTTTGTTATTTATTACTCCTGTTTTTAGGTATTCGGTATTCAGCCGAATAGTGAAAAATAGGCCGAATACCGAATAGTAACCGAATATTCGTTACATCACTAATAAATAGATTAAATAGATAATATTTAGTATTGGGAAGCTAGGAATATATTTATAAAATCAAACAGCAAAAAAATGTTTAGTCCTCTTTAAGCTTGTATTTCTTTAAAAAATTCAAATCCAATATTTAGTGAAAATATTGAAAATGTAACACTTCATAACAACAAATGAAATGTAATAGACTAAATTTATTTTACAGATATATTTGTAACTACCAAGCAATAGTCTTTCAATATTTAATCAAGCTGATCACATGGCTGAGATAGCAAAGACATCAGCATGACACTTTGGAAGACCTAGATATGTTAAACCATGTTCCCTGGCTGTCCTCGGTGAGAGTCTAGCTGAAAAAAATGATGGGTAAAATGCCCCATGGGCACTTTTTCCATACTTCTCTGAATTCCTTGTAGGCATTAAGAAGAGTATGGAATTAAAATACTATATATAGATTTAATCCACAAATATAACAAACACTATATGTAACAGAAAACAACATATATATTTAGAAAAATTCTTTAGATTACAGGAAGTAAAAATTTTCTTTTTCCTTTTTTTTTGTAAAAGAAATTTGATTTCATTATTATATATTAATAATTAATTACAAAAACATGCTCATTGCTGATATTTTCATCATAATTTACAAATTCAATTTTTTAATTCGTACAGAATAAATAAATTGAGTTTTCTTTCTGTACAATATATGCCTTCATATTATACATCTATTTCAATATCTTGATTCACATAAGGAATATCATTTCCCTGTAATAAAAAATTATATATAAATTAAATCTTAATTATTCTATTGATTATAAAAAGTCCAAAAGACTGCATTCATACAACAAGACAGTAGGAGGTATTACATATTGCCTACATATCTACTGTACACTTTCCTGTTTTCTTAAATGAAATATTTTTGTTTTTGATCTCCAGATATAGAAGTTATACATAATATGTCTACAAATAAATTTATTATATTTCATTTTTTATCATAATAAATCACATTACATTGATGATATTAAACATTATTATAACAGCTTTTTATCAATGTTAATACATTGATAAAAAGAACATTTGAATTGGAGGAAATAGTTTCAAAATCACTAATATTTTTTAATAACTTCAAATAAATTTGATGAATAACAAAATCTCAATCATATGGGTGAGATGACAAGTTATTAGCATAATCTTATATAATTTCTGAATGTGTGTCTGTTCAAAATAGAAATTAAAGGGAAACAGTCTACATAGACAAAAAAAAGGCCTAAGAACTTATGATGCAATTAATGGTGAAATGTAAAATTACTAAAATAGTACTTTCTCTTTTGTTAAGTTTTTAAAATGTACCAACGTACAATCAGTGGGACATCCTACCATTGGAGATACTGGGGACTAAGAATCTGGTAATTTCTTTTGCAAAACAGGAATCAAGATTTCTATGATTATTGCACATCATTTTGAAAGCAGAAAAATTAATATTTCGAAGAACGGTAATAAATTAATTCAATTCAAACTATCTTATATCACATTTCATCAAATTAAACAAAACGTGTAAATAGCTTAAAAAATTGACTTCCACTTTCTATGTTATGTAGATATATTATTTATGTTCCTTGTTGTCAAAATCAAAGGATGCTACAGTTCAACTTAACTTTCAATTTTATTTAAGAAGTTTCATCCAAAGAAATTCAAGTCAGAAATATAAATTTCTATTATTTTGACTGTACTGACCCTCCCCTTTGATGAATCCCAGGTGCAAATTAGGGCACTCATATAATTATTAACAGTAACAGAAGATCAGATTTTTTTTTAAATGAGAGATATTTGTTCTCAACTTTTAAGAATATAATGTCTGATGAGACAGCTATGTCATTCTCCTAGAAGCCTACAAAGGTTGGAAGTGATTGAAGTTTCATGTGTATGAAATATTTGTCATAATATGACAGTTACTTTATACAATATTTAGACAATTCTAAATGCCAGTTCATGGTTTCTCATTAGTTGATATTAATTAAACAGTTTACTTGCTTTTTAATTTGTATAATGCAGGGATCTATCTGTTTGTTAAATCTTTATTTCAGAAGAACCTACAATAACGAAGATTTAAGAATCAATATTTCATATTAAAAAATAAGATGTATCGATGTAAAATTTCCTTCAAACAAAAGTAAATGTAAGATTTCAAAATACTGCACTAAGCAAAAATAATATAGTACCATTAATTTCAATGCTCTGTACAAAAATAATTGTGAATAATAGATGAGCATATCTACCATAATAAATTTTATATTTTCCTATTTTTTCTTCTAGGAATTCTTGAATTAAGTATCATCATAATACAAAATTATGACATCTTAACACAAAAGACCATATTTTATACTTTACATTTAAATGTTGAATGGAATATCGATTATATAACTAGTCTAATGAAAAAATTATTATAATACAATATTGTTTACTTACATTTTGGGATTTAAATAATTTTTCTGGTAAGTTAATATGTCCTTTTAATAATGCATTTACTGTATACAATGATTCTATGGGCTCAGGAGTTATTATATAAAATAGTTTCCTTTTAGGATCTATTCCTCTTACAATACCTAAAATAAAAAAGATTTTAATAATTTAAAAATACATTCACTTTCAGTCTTCAATTTTATTAAATATCCAGCAACTGTTTCTTAATATCCAAATGCTTTAAGATGTAAAAAAAAAACTCTAATTTTATTAATTTAAGCAACAAGATCAAAATAAAATTGAATTAAAATATAAAAGATACTTTGTTATAAACTGAATATATAATTTTTTTTCTTAAAATTTTGCTTATGTATATATACTATGCTGATTATTTTCAAGTACAATAATAGCAGGTTTAGCTGTGTTTTTAACTAATTCAGTTAAATTTTTTTAGTATAAGTTTGGATAATTTGAAAGTAGTATCTCTCATGTTTTGAAAAGAGAAAGTAGTTATACGAGGTGTGTTCAAAAAGTATCGGACCTTTGGTCGGCAAAAATAAATTTGTTGATTTTGATGTACAAAACCCTAATCCCCTTCAAAGTAGTCTCCTTGGTAATGTATACACTTCTCCCAGCGTTCCTGCCATTGCTGGAAACACTGCTGGAACGCATCTTTTGGAATGGTTATCAGCCGGTCCGTCGCATTTCGCATGATGTCTTCTCTCGACTAAATTTGGGTTCCTTTTAGCGGCATTTTCAGCTTGAGAAATAGCCAAAGGTCACACGGAGCCATGTGGAGAGAGTACGGAGCGTGACGAACCACAGGAGTATTGTGTTTGGCGACGAAAGCCCGAATCAGATGCGCAGAATGGGCGGATGCGTTATCACGATGGAGCTGCCAAGTTTTGATCGACCACAGATCCGGTCGTTTGCGTCGCACTGTATCGGAAAGACGACGAAGGACCTCCTGGTAGTACTCCTTTGCGATGGTTTGGCCTTGTGGTGCGTACTCACGACACACCACCCCACGAGAGTCGAAAAAACTGTCAACATGACCTTTGATATTGCTGCGGACCTGCCGCGCTTTTTTTGGCCTCGAGGATCGTCCCCGAAAGCCTGCTGAATCTTGCGAATGGTTTACACTCGGGTATCGCCAAGGTTTTTGGCAAAATTTGATGTAATATCGCTGCTCACGTTGTTCAGTCATTTTCCAGCTTAGTGGAATCCGACGAGAGCGCACTACATGACCTCACTCATAGGCCGATTGCCAACGACTGACGCTTCCTGCAGGCGGGAAAAAATTCAGGGCTGTGCATGACTGTCCCCTCCACAACTCCACTGAAGGAGGCCTCTCGCGCATCATTGGTTTATGCGGAAAAAAAAAGGTCTGATACTTTTTGAACAGACCTTGTAGGTTTATAAAATATATACATTTTGGCAATTCACAAAATGTTGTTCTGCAAACTCCTGTGTATAGAAAAAAATTGTCACATGTTTCACAGGTGTAGATGGCCAAATAACTCTGTTATTTGCATGCTAATATCTTTATGATGTCCAAAGATAGAATGTGCATAATTTTATGTTACTTTAATTAAAATGTTAAAGTGGAAAAGCAAATGATAATAAAATTTGATACTGCCAAAATTAAACTTGCAAATAATTTTGAAAAAATAGTTATCACAATTTTGAGTTATCTAACTTTTTAATTCAAACACTAGACAATTAAGAAAATATTTTGCAGATGCAAATAATTAGCTATGTATTATAATCATTGATTACAAAATATAGAACTGTTATGTTTTATTACATTTAACACTCAAATTATATTCAATAAACATAATACAACTAAAAAAAATGCAAAATGCAAATAATTTTTCAATCAGCTTTATAAGAGGAATTTTCATCTGTTATATTCATAACAGATAAAAATGCTTTTGCCAAGCTATCCCTTTAATTCTGCTACATAACTATTCAAACATGGGATGTTCCTGCACACAAATCACCTCCATGAAATAATAAGTGATGATGCAGATTGTACAATCCTATGACACATGATGCTCACTCCAATTAATCTGTTTGAGAATATGTGACAATAAAACTGTTACGTTTTATCTGGAAAAAAGGCCTATCCACTAAGTTGACAGAAGAAATTAGTATGATAGAAGGACAGAAAACTGTTGATTGAATCATCCTGATGCAGTAGAGCAAATGTTTTTACATTAGTGATACCACCTTTTGGATGACCATCTTGCAATAATACAGCTTGTAATTTTGGATGATATTCAGAAAACTCCAGGTATGAGTATTGACATAATGGTACCTATTGTCAGTATGTCAGTCTACCCAACTATTGTCACTTGAAAAGAATGTCCAGAGTCTGCAATGTCCCAGATATGATCCTCATGAACTCAACCAAGGTTCAGAGGTTGTATTGTGCACAAGATAGGAGGGATTTTTCCAAGAAACTTATGCTGTGTGTTTGATAGAATTTTGAAAGTGCAATTCAGTTTGAATTGATGCCAGAGGGGTTTGAAATGGATGGCGAACTTTACACCTTGCCTATATTGGAGTTTGTCTATGATAGAGTGCAAAAAAATAAAAAAATACAGTGAAACCTTGGGTTTTGAATGCATGAAATACAGCTGAAAAGGTAAAACAAGGTTTTGTTTTGGAGATCAAAAACAGATTAGTCCATTTTATATTGTTTCTTATGGGAAAATTTGTTTTGATTTTAGAATAAAATCGAAACAAATTTTCCCATAAGAACTTTTAGGAATGAATTAAGTTCAAAATCTGACATTTGCCTGTATCCTGCTTTGATCAACCAAAAGTGAGTTTTGTTGCAGTATAAGAAAGCTCCAGTGCATTGATGTAAACTGACCAGACAAAGTTGCAAAAACCAAATCTTTTCATTATGTTGTCCCACCCAGCATATAGCCCAGTTATTGCACCCTCTGCTTATGGATTGTTCTGGAGTTTATAGCATTTGTAGCAAGGGCATAGTTTGATACAGAAACAGATGTAATAAGACATGCTGTGAGTTTTTTTGCTTCCAAGACCAAGAACTGGTACTGTAGGCAAATCACACTACTATTTGACAGGTGGGTAAAGGTTATACTGTGTAATGGTTTCTATGTCTCTGAATAAAGTATGTTTCTGTTCTATATATAAAGTGCTGAATTGATCATATGCTATATAGCAGAACTTACAGGACAACCTAGAAAATACTCTTGAACATTATGTATTGGCATTAATTTCCATCCTTTATCAGAATTACTAACAAATTGTATCCAAGTAACAGTCAAGAAAAATTAAATTTATTTCTTATTTTTATCTTAGTGTTTCTTGCTTGTTTAATTTTAATAACTTAAAAAATTCAAATATAGTTGAGATTGTTTTATACATAAAATTCATAACTAAACACCAACCATATGCCGAAAAATCTGTCGGGCTAGTTTTAGGCTAATTACTAAATGAATTACGTAACCAATTTGGCTCTAGAGGTAGGCGTTAGGCGCCATCTCTTATTAATATTAATAATTATAAATAAATTAATTAATTTAAATAATTTAGAACCGCTGGGAGAAAAAATCGGCCCGGAGCGGGACTCGAACCCACAACTCCTGCTTACCATGCAGATGCGTTGCCAGTTACGCTATCCAGACCTCCAGTTCGATCTCCTCTTCCAGCGTATATAAGCTAACTATATAACCATCGACAGTTATTACAATGCCGGCTGGGGACACATTCAGTGCCCACGTCCCCCAAGGCACTCAACCGGCCATCGCAAGCCCCGGCAAGGCGTAATATCGGGTTTAGCAATGTTTGTTTATATTACACCTTGCCGGGGCTTGCGATGGCTGCTTGAGTGCCTTGGGGGACGTGGGCACTGAATGTGTCCCCAGCTGGCGTTGTAATAACTGTCGATGGTTATATAGTTAGCTTATATACGCTGGAAGAGGAGATCGAACTGGAGGTCTGGATAGCGTAACTGGCAATGCATCTGCATGGTAAGCAGGAGTTGTGGGTTCGAGTCCCGCTCCGGGCCGATTTTTTCTCCCAGCGGTTCTAAATTATTTAAATTAATTAATTTATTTATAATTATTAATATTAATAAGAGATGGTGCCTAACGCCTACCTCTAGAGCCAAATTGGTTACGTAATTCATTTAGTAATTAGCTTTAAACTAGCCCGATAGATTTTTCGGCATATGGTTGGTGTTTAGTTATGTTATATATCGGGTTTAGCAATGTTTGTTTATAACATTCATAATTGAAAACTATCATCTTCAATTGAATATCTTATTAATTTACCATAATTATTTTTATTTCAAGAAAATGATAATATGCAATATCATACCTTAAAAAATATTAGAGCAAATATAAAAATATATCAATATATTTTATTATCTTATATAATATATATAAAATAGACATACCAAATCCATGGCATATATTGTTATGAGCATGCTTCAAAATTTTAAATGAAAATTCAGTTTCATAAAACTAAAATTGAAAAACAAAAAATTACTAAAATGATTAAAATAAACTAAATAAAAAATAGCACATTTCAAATTTACCTCTGGATCAATGACTGTACACAAAGCTACCCAACTACCATTAAAAGCATAAAGAATATGATTTTTTGGTGCATAATCATTACAGACATAGAGTGAAATAGCTGACCAAGATATACTGTTAAAGAATAAAAGTTAAAATTTTACCTAAACATACATTTATATTATTATTATGATTTATTTATATATTAAATAATAAAAAAATTGATTGTATAAATTATAGTAAAATTTAATAATAATTTTTTTTGCATAAATGTTGTTAACAACATCAACCTGATTCTATCAGATATGCCAGACTGCTGGATTATTTATCAAATTGTAAAGACTAATTTAGCTATAGCTTGGCAAATATGTTGCCATTTACTGTAATGATAAATTTAATTAGAAATGAATTTACTTTAGAATGGTCTGGAAGAAAAGATCAGTCTAACCATATATCTACAGTCAAATTATTTTATTTCTTATCAATAAACTTAGTTTTGTGGCAGTTCATTGGCACATAAATATGTAGATAAATAAAAAGTAATGTATTCCTTTTACCTGTATTCTACATAAATACAAGGGTGAGTCAAAAAGTAAGTTGCACTCATACCAAAAATAAAAGTATAAAACATATGGGTCAAAAATTTTTATTTGTATGAATAAACAATCCAAGTGCTACTTTAACATAAGCACCAAGTTTATTTAAACATTTATTGCAACATGGCACAAGATTTTCTATTCCTTTTTGGAAGTATTCCCACCCAATGTGCAATAACCATTCTCATGTCACACGTGTGATATCTTCATCAGAGTTGTATTGACAATTTGAAAGGTTCTTTTTTCTTGGGGATGAACACAAAGAAATCACAAGATGCAAGATCTGGACTGGAGGGAGGATGTTCTCATACAGTCCATTTGAATTTTTCCAGTAGAGCCTTTGTGATACCTGCTGAATGAGGTGTGGCATTGTCATGAAAAAGCATTCTCACCATACACTTCCCTCAACTGGCATTGAATTTCAGTGGAGTTACACCTTTTTGCTCGTAAGTAATGAGTTTCTGCATGAACTTCCAATTTGGGCACTACATCCAAATGACAACACCTATTATGACTGAAAACCTATGCAGCTAAGTTGACAAATCTGTTACTCCTTGTAGCTGGAAATATTACCAATGTTGCCACCAGATTTCATTTAAATATCATTTATCAACAAAAAGTTCTTGCCAATTGCAACTTACTTTTTGACTCTCCCACATATCAAAAGACTTGTTTTTTACATTGAAAATTTTTTATCAGTGCACATGCACATTCTTGCATACCAGAAAAAATTATTTTTAGCTTTGTTTTGAAGGCATTAAGAAAACCTTTTTTACATGCCCAATTATGAGTTTAATCAGAGTGGGAATTCCAGATGATCAGAAATAAGCATGACAATTTCCAGTCAAATCCACTATAAAGATTTGAGGATCTAATCAAAATTTGAACATAATTCTGTATATTTTAACTGATAGGTCTTTTGCTATTGGGAATAACTATCAAAAACATTGTGATTAAGAAGTCTATATTTAAAATATTGATAATTATCTATATAATGCAAGCAGTTATGATGATTGGATTTATAAAAATGTAAAAAATTATTGTATATTGTGATCATAAGTAAATATACAATAATTTTTAAAATAAAATATACATAATTTAGATAGTCAAAACTGAAATTTACAATATCACAGTTAACATTTTTAATTTGAATTAAAATGACAGACAGTATATTTCACAATTTTAAAATATGTATAGAAGGACACTAAAACGTCTTCTAACATCCATCCTGTCTAATCATCAGGAACAGACAATCAATCAAATCAATCAATCGTTTTTTTATTAGGTGCTCGAGGCATATACTCAGCACTGCAAGAGAACAGCTAAGAAAAATTATATACATTTTAAAATAATACATATTAATAGTGTATACAAAACTGTCAGTTAAATACAAAATATTACAGAGAGAACAATTAATACATTAATAACATTTTTTTACTATTGAACACAAGACTGTGTTATTATTAAAACACTTGGCGTTTATCCACTTTATTCATTAACTTGTGCTGTACGAGTGTCATTGCATTTTTAACGTTGACTGATGAGGGGCTATACGCCCGAAACAAAATGCCCGTATCAACTGAATAAAGTGGATAAATGCCAAGTGTTTTAATAATAACATAGTCTTGTGTTCAATAGTAAATAAATACGAAAACACGGTTTCAAAAAACTAATCAACATTAATAACATTAATACAAAATAACAATGAAATATTATTACAGAATAGCAATGTATACAGAGTTATCAGATGTAGAAAGTATTGCAAACAGAGTATTTTTAGAACTTAATAACTAACATGAGAAAAATAAACTTAATAACTAAAATTAAAGCTAAGAGAGAATTCAATGGAATAATACAGAGAAAAAATGTGCAGAGCAAAACACCAGGAGTAACTCCATATTCTCTTAAAATAAGTCCGTTATGGAGGAACCACAAAACTCCTTGGAGTAAACTTGTCTATAAGGGCCTCCAAAACACCTTGAGTACTTGTAGAACAAGTTTTGCAGAACAAGTCTTGCAGGACAGAACCACCAGGAATAACTCCATATTCTCTTGAAATTAATTTGTCAGGGAGAAACCACAAATACTCATCAGAGTAAACTTGTCCATAAGGATCTCCAAGACACCTAGAGTACAGCAGTACTTATTGAACACAAAGATTCACTTGCAGAACAAGAAACAGACGAGGTCAAAAGTATTTCATGTGTAGATTGATTCATGGTAACTTATAGAGTAATTGATTAAAGCAAGAACAAAAATAACCAGGAGTCAGTTTATCAAAATTTTCATTGATTCCATCAGATTTATCAGGCTGGATGGTGTGAAGTTCAGAAGAAACAGTAGTATGCTATTCTCTGGTAGCAGTTGGTGCAATAATAGCATGCTGTTTGACTAATCTGTAAAATGATTTGAAGATCTCTTTATTCATTAACAGCTCTTCATGCTTACATGGCCAGTTTAAGTTGTAATTTTTAACAGTAAGTTCTAAGGCCAGGCGTTCAGCTTCCAATGAGATACATTCGAAAAGATAATGATCGACACCATCAGGCTGATTACAGATGGAACAGAAAGAAGTTTGTTTACCAATGAACCTTTGTAAGTAGATAGAAAACGTACCATGACCGGTAAGAATCAGGAACAGACAGTCTTCATTTCGCAAAGACGACCTTTTATTGAAAGCTACAACTCTCCACAATTATGTAAAACAGTTAAAAGTTCACTGACAACAAGCCAGTGAAGACTGTTTGTTCCTGATAATTAGACAGAACGAATGTTAGAAGACATTTTAGTTTCCTTCCTTCTATATATATTTTAAAACATTTTCAATATTTAAAAAATTTTGTTTTTGTTTTCCTTTTCCATTGTTTCAACACACCAGTGACAGTCCAAAATAATTTTCACATACGGAGATAACCTTTTATTGGAGGGTCCATCCTGCAATTAAATGCAAATTGGAAACAACATCCTCTGGTAATTTTGCCAAAATCACATTATAATACAATTAAGTAAAAATTTAAAAGCTTGGCCAAGTTTTTAAATTGTTACTTAAACATTTTTATAGTTGTTCCTATGTTCAGGGTGGGGAGCTGTAAATTTTTTCTCAGACCCTTACTGGTTCCTACCCCTATAAATATATGTTATATTTACTAACAAAACATAAAATCATTACTATAAAGAAACATTTTACATATTTCATATGTTAAAAAAAAGGCAAAAGGAATTCCATACAAGCTCTTTGACAACCCTACTTATGCTTGTCATAACATTAAAAATATTATCTTCAATTTTTTTTCTATTTATGTCATACTTACTTTCAATAAATCTTACGATATAAATAATAAATAGTTTATTTATTTACTGAACAGTTACTAAACTACTAACTAAAATAACTACGAGTCTGAATGAATTAACTTACACATATGGTCTGAATGAATTAATAGGTTCAATTTTCATTGTAAAGTTCATCTGTAACTGGCCTAAATATGACAGCATAGCTAATGATCTATACTTTGGTGCTATAACACTGAAAACAGATTTTTAAAAGCAAATTTTAAAAATAAAAATAAAAATTCTAAATATTACGTCATAAATAAATATTCTATTATGGCAATTTCATAGCTCTCATTATTTTTAATATTGTATACATCTTCAAAATCTCACAAATTTTATAGGAAAAGAAAATATATTAAAAATTTAATACAATGGTTTCTAAAAAACATTACATTTTGGCAAATAAATTTAAAAAATATCAAAAATGTAATAACTCATAAGACTTTCTTATAAATTATTGCTAAAATCCATAAAAGCATAAATATAAGGGGGATTAAAACTCCCAGATATTTTCTTATAGGTTCTTATCAGTAGCAGTAAGAAATTATATTTAATATCACTAAAGAATGTTTACAGGAAAAAAAAATTTAAAGCTATCAGATACATATTTACTGAAAAAGAATTAATATATATTAATACATTTAGATTATTATTTAAAGTTATATATAGTGGAGTCCAGATTATCTAACCTCTTGTTATTCAATATTGCCATGTCATTTGCAGTTATTGTAGTTCTGCATGTGCACTGCTGCTTATTTCAGTATATCACATGTGATCAACAGCATAGTTTTATTTGTACATCTTCAATTGTAAATCATATTGGCATCATGATACTATGACTCTTTTATTTTTCCTATTATATTCTCTCTTTAATACAGTTTTAATATTGGAGGAATACAGCAAGTAAAAAAAAAAATAAAATGACTCAATTGAATAATTACTAATTAAAATTGAAGACAGAGTCTGTTGAAAAAAAAATCACCTTTTAATCACTTTCATGTTCTGAAATACAACTCAAGAATGACCCAACCTTTCCTATTAGGCTACCTTGTTGCCAAAATAGTCAATAATTACTAATTTATATTTATAATGAGCTTTTGTTAAATTTTCAATTTGTTTCATCCCTTCCCATTGTTCTGAATTATCCAATATTTTTCCTAATCTCATTGAAGATAATCTGGACTCAAATGGGTTAAAATATTTATATTATTATATTTGTATAGTCTTATTATATACTAACTTTTGTTTTGCACTTGATGGTGATGGTATTTCTATTAATAAATAATTTAATGACGACTTCACTGACTTTGTATATTTCCATCCATCTGTTTTAAATACATAATCTGCAGTTAATGTAGGATAGTTTAATTCTTTGTTTTCAAGATATAACTGAATTATGTGTGTTGGCTGAGTAATATGGATAATATCAATAAGAAGAGCTATTCCTACATCTGAAAGAAGTAAAATTTTTAGAATTAAAAAGTTTCTCAACAAATGAATTCTTAAGATATTTTATACAATAATGAAATCTCAAAATATTCTCAATTTAAATGCAATAATAAAATTTTAAATACTATTTAAAATATATAAAACTAACAGGTAAGCCTGGCATTGCCCAGGCAAAAAATAAGTACAAATATTAAGATTATTAGATTATTTTGTGCTTCTAACCCTTCTATTATATTATATTATAGTATTTGATTTATATAACTACAACAGTTATCTTAAAAATTCCTTAAATTGTGTACAGTAGAAGAAGAAAATTTTTTAAATGTGTTACATTGGTCACTCGGTATGATAAATTCTTTCATAAGATAATGTTTGTATTTACATAAATTTGTCATATTTATCATGGTACTCAGATGATACGAAATGGCACGATGTCATCGATCAAGTAGACAGTAATTAAACATATGATATATTAAATTTTTTAAGATATATTTTTTCTAATGTTAGCTCTAACAAACTGTTCCATTCACAGTCAAATATCAAGTGGTAATCTGACAACGAATCAAATTTTGTGAAAAATGGACCAAATATTTTAAACTCGGCACCCTCAAAAACCACTTGAAACATATTTTGTGCTCACTGGTAACCTTGTATTATGTAATTTTCCTATTCAAATGCCATCACACTGATGGGTCCAATAGGAAGAAGAGACTCTGTGGAAGTGGATCAAAGTTAATTTGACCAAAAGTAGTAGATGACCTCCTGCTGAAGAGAGGATGCTCAACAATTACTAATTAATACCAGTCTACTATTAATACTTAAAAAGTGATCCATATTGGATAGATCATGATATGATCAAAGTTGCTAACCTTAATATCTGAAAGACTTCATATAAGACTTGTTTAAATAAAAAAAAATATTGTAAAAATGTGAGAATAATTGCTTTTATGTGATCCCATGAAAACAAAAACAAAAACAAAACTGATGAAACCAAGTTAAAAAAAGTAAAGCTCAGCAAAAAACATCTAAGTAAAAGAAACTTTTGAAAGTTGTGGCATAAGAATAGTGGAAGCAGATTTAACAGTAAGACTCAACATGTAAATATAACTACAACTATACAGACTACAACTACAAGAAATTTTTAATGAAGGAATGTCATCATAATAATAAATTGGAAAAATAAACATTGGCACAGAAAAAGACTTTGAGCTCTACTTTGTGCCTTAAAATCTTTGCATGTTTATATTTAATGCAAATATTAATTTGGCTAAACATTAGAGTATCTTTAGGCAGTATGAGTTAATAAGGGGAGATGAAATCAGGGGAGAAGACAGGGTGTCCAGATTTCCTGGTAGTTAAGTATATCCTTGTAAATATCACATTTATAGAAAAATTATTAGAATTGGTTTGGTTTATTGGAATTGTTTATAGCAACATGACACATGAGCGATCTGCCAACGAGAATGCATCCCAGAAAGACTTTTACATATGAAGAAAACTCATGAAGCCAGTCCATTGGCCATGCATGAACCCACGACTGACCACCAGTATAACTGACCACTTGGTTACTGGAAGGTACTTATTGGGGTGCAATTTGAAAAAATTGTAGACCTATAAATTTCCACTGTCATCTGTCTGTCTCTGTCCTTCTTTAATCTCAAGAACAAAGTTAGACAGATGAAAGTCAAGACTCAGAGGACCAGATTAACTATATATGAACTTCCAATTTGGACCACAAGTCATGTTATTTCAATTCAAAAATTTTCTCCCGAACAAAGTTAGATACATAACCAGCATGACTCTATTGCTAACAGGTAAAGTATGATGTAGAGGAGCAAAACACTACTACACTCCATACAGCAAGTGCTATGTTCTATCTGTTGCAGTAATGGCATAATGGCACATCAATTTCATGCTGTATCATTGTTGCAGTAATTCAGTAAATATAATATATATATTTTGAAATTATACCTTTATTTTGAAATTATAATTAATTAGATTATTATTTAAAGTTATATATAGTGGAGTCCAGATTATCTAACCTCTTGTTATTCAATATTGCCATGTCATTTGCAGTTATTGTAGTTCTGCATGTGCACTGCTGCTTATTTCAGTATATCACATGTGATCAACAGCATAGTTTTATTTGTACATCTTCAANTCAAGTTGGAAGTATGTTAATGTAAATGCCAAGTTTCATAGCAATTGATTGAATGGCCTAGGCGTGCATAACAAACAAACAAACATCCTCATTTATATATATATATATATATATATATATAGTAAATGACAATTATCTAAATTTCTTATAAAACATGAACAAATTATATTTGTTTATAACACTAGTCAAACTATTATAAATTTTGAAATTGATTTTAAATATAGTAGAAGGTTCATTAATCTGACACTTATGAGACTAGAATAGCACTGGATATTGTACTTTCCCAAATTAGATAAATTATGTGTGATTTGAACATTGTAAACACTGCTATACATTTCACATCAGTGAACACTGCTGTATGCTTCTGATCTGTTTACATATGCTGTTTACTCAGTTTAAGAATGCTATAGTGCATGTTTAAACTATGTTAATCAATCAATGGATTGAAAAATCTGAAAAAATGTTAATGAATATGCCCAGGATATTTAATGTATTACAAGTCCAAACAAATTCCAATTCATGGAATATTAGCAGGCTGAATTATTATTGGACAATTTCAGATTGTTAATTTGTAAATAGTAGTCAGTAAACTTCTGTAATTAAACATATATTTGTAATTGTAAACAATTAACAATAACANGGGACGAACCAGAGGCTGCCCTAAGAAGATTCTGAGGTGGTGCGAGATCTCATTGTAATGTCACGCGTAGAGACTGAATTGTATATAGAAATTACAGATACATTTTTCACATTATCATGCTTTATCAGCATTCTATGCTGTACTGTACCTACGAGATTTGTAATAGAGGGTTAACTCTAATAAAATATTTTGTTTTTAACTTTTGTTTTTTTTTTTTCTTAACTCTGAGTACTAACAAGGGAGGTTAAGAAGCCTAAAAATTAAGAAAAATCTGAAATATTTATGTTATGAAAGAACTAGTCTTGCACACACATTATTTTTTGTTCCTGCCATATTGTGGTTTAAGGGGATAAAATCATCCCTTAAAAAAAAGCCAATTTCTTGTTTTTTCAGAACAACTGCCAATCAGAGATATTGAAAAAAGCTTAAACAAAAAAATTGTATCTCTCTTTTATATCTACAAAGCTGTATATAGATAGTATAAAAAAATTCATGTTTTTGAGTTACCTCCACCAACCATTAAAACTGAGTTTTTGTACTTTGTAAACTTATTCAAAAATACTTCTCCATAACTTCTTTTCACACAGCAACATACATACATTACTTGAAGTTTTATATTATTAAATTAATTTGTAAATTGCATGATAAATGAGATATTGCATGAAATTCTGTTTTAACATTAAATGACATAATCACATTGATGCACAGATAACCTTCTTAAACATTCTGATCTACACCATGCAGACAAATTTGATTCCTGACCATCAATATATATTGATGTAACAATATTTAAATCATAATTTATATGATTTACAATCATCACTTATTTCAGGAAGACAATTTGTACCTATTTTGAATGAATGAATAATTTAAGGATGGTAACAGGGTAACTCAAAAATTCATATTTTTGATACTTATCTACAGCTTTATAGACAAAAAAAATGTAACTTTTTAAAATCTTTTTTGATATCTCTCACTGATTGGCAGTTGTTCTGCAAAAACAAGAAACTGGAATTTTTTTAAAGGACAAGAAAGGCATTTTCACCACATCAAATAATTATATGGCACAAACAAAAAATAATTTTGTGTTACATATGAGCTACACACACACAATGAGCACGTTCGTAAAGTTGAATTAGTTAAATGCATTAGTAACGAGTCATTCCAAAAATAGTAGTCTCGCTCAGTGTGCATGCTCTGTGGTGATGACATTTCAAATGAAACTCTAATGAAATTCGCGAAGGAAAGAGTTAAGTCACTTCGTTAAGAAAATGGCACCTGACGATATTGATGTATCTAAATCTACTTGAGTATTTAAACTGTGAATTAAAATGTGAAATGATAGAAATACTGTCCACCCAAAGCAATCTAAGAAAAATATTTCGGATAAGGCTGCACTAGCAACATCATATCTTTGATTTTAGAAACAGCTATTTACTTATAAATGAATTGGTCGAAAAGTCTAATGAAATAATAATAACAATGAAGCCATTCTCGTTTAACTTGTTCGACTTTACAAATGTACCCAATGTTGCAGATTTTTATGAATTTCTAGGTTTCCTAACCTCTTTTGTAAGAATGATTTTTATTCATGCCCAGTACAAATTTGGTCAAGATAATATAGGATAGCTACATGATAAAGGATGGAATCCAACATATCCAGGTCAAGTCAACCAAGAAAACTTCTGAAAATCTGACTAAGACTCTAACCTAGGTCCTTCAGACTGACTAGCTGATGACTATACTCTCAACTGTGTAGCCATCTTTATAGCCAATTAGGTCTCATGAATTTAATGCAGTGTTCCGCAACCGGTGTGCTGTCACATAATGAAAGATGCGACGTGAACTTTTACATATTCTGTTAATTTCAAGTTTTATTTATATATTTTTATCACAGTTGTGTTTCTTAAGCTTGTATTTCATTCTCTGCCGCAGCACTGATGAAATAAGAAGATGTTTGTTTATTCTTTATTACAAACCATGCATTTTTATGTATTCTAAGAAATTATATGTAAAATAAATTTGCTCACAGATGTAGATGTCTGTGAGCAAATTTAGATGTAGATGTCTAATAATAGGTTAGTGGCATTATGTAATTCTATTAATAGTATCATATCATACGTTTTTGAGGGGAATAACACTTTGGTGTGCTGTGTTGAGTCATGGGTATGCTGCAAGTAGAAAAAGGTTGCAAAACACTGATTTAATGTATATTTTCTTATTAAAAAATGTATTCAGTTAATGCTAAGAATAAGAAACAAAACACCTTTTTTGCCGAGAAATAAATATAATTTGAAAAAACAAACGTTTTCAGCCTAGTTAATAGGTCATCTTCATGTCGAAAAAATGGAATCTCAGAGCAGTTAATGCTCTGAGATGAAGAATTTATGTTACTTGTATCTAAATGAAATTTCTTTAAAGAAAATCTAAAAATGGTGCAATATTTATTATCAATCTTACACTAAAAACTTAAAATTTTTGATGAACATGCAAATGTGAAAAGGTAAATTATTATATAAAATAAAAAAAAACAAAATTAAAAAATTTTGATTACATACAGCATAAATTAGAATAATTTATTAACCCTCAAGTATGTCATTCATATTAAATATTAAAATCCATTCTTGCATAAGAAAGTTTATGTTCTTTATAACAATAGTGTTGATAAAAAATTATTAAAAATTTAAAACCATATTTATATTATACATAAACATTTTAATTATGTATTGAAACATTTTCTTTAATTTCTTACCTTTGGTCCAACCCATGGTATTGATAAATAATGGGTATTCAGAAAACATTTCTTCATAGTTTTTATAAAAATTAGAAAGTGCACTTATATAATCATCAGGAATATTAACAGTGACACCACCTATAAAATGCATTCTACAAAAATAACAACAACAACTATTATTAAATTGACAGTAAAACTTAATATGATACAAAACAGATAAATTTAAATATTTTGATATATCTTAATAATAAATGATTGTGAATAGAATAAGAGAGTATTAAAAGACATGATAAAATTATGTAGTTGTACATAATAAAATATTTAAAGAAAGAATAAAAAATTTGTTACTGAAGACATGTAAATAACTACAGTCCCTTCACAATGTTTGCTAACAATGAGCTACTGTTATTGGGTCTATATCAGTGAGACAATATTTAACTACTAACTCTATTATTATTAATGTAGGAAAAATAGTAATTTAGTTCAACAATATCCATATTGGTAACTAGAGAAAACTCCACATGAGAACTGTGCACAAAAAAATCCCCACTGTCATATATGAGTTGCACTGCATAGCACCAAAACTGTCACCTGGCTAAACATTTTTTAAAGCAACAATAAAATCCTAGTCTGCTTATTTCTACATTCAGTATAAAATTGAATGACAAAGCACACTTCAGGAAAAAGAACAGAATGTCAAGCTCCTGTGCAATGGGAATCTTGTGCATCACACACTAAGCAATGTCATTATGTCATGCAGCAAGTTCGGACAACAAAATAGGATGTGATGTAGAGAACTGAAAGCAGTTTTCATGCAATGTCACCCAGTGTTTCCAGATTGGAGATTTTTTTTTATCAGCTAACAGAAAATCTGGGAATTTTTTGAGGTGAGATTTTTATCACTTTGATCTTTTTTCAGTAGATTAAAGCATAAAAATTTTCACACAACAGAACATGTGAAATACTGTTTAAGCATCATGATGAAATGTGTTATTCAGAATTATTCATTAAAAAATTATTCAAAAATGATCTGTATTTCTAAGTGACAGCTTAACATGTTACTTTTGCTTTCCAGAATCCAAGCTGATAAGGTACCATCTCTTGCATTAATTAATAAGTGAAACTGGTGGTGATAAATAATTTGAAGTTGCAAAATAAATTTAAAACTGGCAAAAGGGTTGATGATTATTTTAAATTTTTCAGAGTGACCCCTGTGTATATGAATACAAGAAAAATTGCTCACACCAAAAACTGTCCATGTAAAGAAATTCTCATATTCACATTATTATAGTAGTAAAATTTAAATTGTAACGTGATAAAACAGAAGTTCAAAGCTTATTGACATAAATAAATTGTATGTTTTTAAAGGAAACTATATAACAGGTGATATGTGCACATTTTCTCCTGTGTGTATATGTAAGTGGGGTTTTTCATTGTGCAATTTTCATGTAGGCTTTTTTCATAGAACCATCTATATTATAAAACAGATGAAGAGAAAAAATTTACATTTACACTATATCTATATTAGAAAGTACTCAGCAAACCACAAAACATAACATACAAATAACACCTTATCCTTGCCGAGAAAATATTTATTTTATAAAACAAACATTTTCAACCTGATTTACAGGTCATCATCAGGTTGTGAACGAAATTAGAACTAAAGCATTCTAAAATAGAATATAAATTCAAAAAATTAAATAACTAAAGGAATAACATAAAATAAAATAAATTAAAACAAATAACAAAAATTAATCATGTGAAAAATATAAAATAACAATATAAGATTGTTTACTAACAATATCTCTAATAAAATTAAATTACTAATTTAACTAAAATCCAACTAATTAAATTCGTAATTTAATTTTATTAGAGATATTGTTAGTAAACAATCTTATATTCTTATTTTATATTTTTCACATGATTAATTTTTGTTATTTGTTTTAATTTATTTTATTTTATGTTATTCCTTTAGTTATTTAATTTTTTGAATTTATATTCTATTTTGGAATGCTTTAGTTCTAATTTCGTTCACAACCTGATGATGGTCTGTAAATCAGGCTTAAAATGTTTGTTTCATAAAATAAATATTTTATTAGCAAGGATAAGGTGTTATTTGTATGTTACACTATATCTAATTGTATACAAATAAACAGAGAAGAAACTATTAAAACTTATACATTTAATTAAAAATTTGTTGGAAGGAATCATTAATTCTTCAACAATATTTATTTGCACTTATTGATTTCCTGCAATTGATTTCTTTCAGAATGAGATAAGCATAACTGCAATATTTATTTTTACATATATTAATTCAATAATTTCTAATAGTTTCATAACACAATAATGAACATGAACACAGAATTTCTTAAATTTAAATATATATTTATGTTTACAAAAAGAGATTTATTATATGACTCTGAAACACAAGACCGTGCTACTATTTAAACACTTGACGTTCCTTCCTACCCATGCTCGAGTCTGACTCGAGCAAGTGCCATAGTGTTACAAAAATCTGGACGTGAGGACCCTGCGAGAAATAATTTTTTTTTTTTTTTCAATTTTTGGAATGTTTTTTAAAAATTTTTTCCCGCGCGAAAAAATTTTATCGCAGTTTTAATTTACCTTTAATAACGCACGATTCACGCTTTATTGCTTTTTAATTGTTTTTTAATGGGACTTTTTTTTTTATCAAATTTAATTAATCGTTCTAAAGTTGTAGTGCACGGATTTGACTTTGGTAAAGTTATTTAAAGCTAGTTTCTGATATCAAAAACAACCTCCAATAGTTTTTTAATTTTTTTAATTAATCGATTTTATTATATATAAGTTTAATTAAGTTGGGGGGGTCGGAAATTGCAATAAAAATTTTAATTTTTTAAAAATATAGGTCTAGCTAGTATTCACCCTACTTTAAACTCTTCTCCTCCTGAGACATCTGAGAATGCCCCGGGAAATATGACTCCAGCTGTTCTCAAGGTCATCCAGCTGTGTAAACAATGACTCATCGGTGTCAAATTTCGCAGAAAGGCGAATCAAAGGAAGTTAAATTTTGAAGCTTTTTCTTCAAAATTAACGCATTTCGTTTTTTTTCAGTTTTAAGTACTTTTTATGCTTAATTAAAAATTCTAAAAAATTGGACAGCTCAAAAGGGGTGAAAATAGCCATTCTTCACTTGGTGTTTTAATTAAACAAGATTACTAACACATGTGAAAGTAATCTTGTTAGTCATAATAATGAGGATAACATTAAACATTATACTATTGATATCTTTATATATTTATATAAGAATTATTTCAGTATTTTTATTTGTCATTAAAATGCTAAGCTTACAATTCAATCAAAATTTTCTCTCTAGACAGATGCATTAAAATGCTATAATCAAGAAGTGGACAGCATGCCGACCATTTAATAGGAGAAACTTTTATCATACAGGCATTAAATTACAAATAAATGTCGCTAGACCGACAAGTGCTTTCAACGATAATTATTTTCGTCTTCATCAGGTCATTAAAAAACGATTAAATTCCTTTTTTGATTACAAATAACTGACCGTTCCAAGCTTATTAACGTTTTGTAATGGAAGCAACAGTAGAACATAAGACAATTTTTAAATAAAAACACACGCAGTTATAATGCGCATGTGCTATGCGCCTCCAAATTGTGGAGCTAGATACATTATTTTAGATAGTTATACAAATTGATCCACAAAGGGGGCAAATCAAATGTGGAGGTGTTGCAGGGATTTAATATGTTGGTAAGGAGGGCCTCCCAAACATACACAATATTTCTGTTATTGCAATGTCTTACTATGGCCACCTCATCCCACAACGGGGTATGTTGGTGTTGTAACACCATTCTAGCGAGTTCAGTTTCGTTCTTGCCTTCCCTGATAGAATATTGATGCTCTGAAATACAATAAGACAACATTCTAGTTGTCGCACCAATATAATGGGTGCAACCACCTGACATATTTTCTAATGGGATAGAATAAACCCCCGATCTTTCAAGAATGGAGATAAGATCCCTGTCATTGGACAGCAATCTCCTAAGATTTGGTCGTGGGGAAACTGGCAGAAAAAACACATGTCGCCTAAAAATACGGAGAGTGACATGACCACAAAATGGTATCAAAATGGAAGGACTATTGTGGATTCTTTCAGGAGATGCAGTGTAGTAGCAGGAAAAAGCGATCTTTTTACTTTATTTAAGATGTAGATAAATTTGGCATTATTGTAGCCCGCCTCATTTACTGCACAGCGAATGATATTAAGTTCAGTATCAATAGAAGCTTGACTGGAAGATAAAAGAAAGGCCCTTCTAATTAAAGGTGTGATTGCTGCATTGATGTAATGTTGTGGCTGGTATGATGTAGCGGGGATCAGGGAGGTACACCGCTGAACTTGTTGAATACGGAATACATTATGGTATCCCAGGATTTAACAATTTTTAGATCCAAGAATACAATCTCATTTTCTTTGTCTTTTTCCCAGGTAAAATTAATTGCGGGATAAGTGGTCATGAGACAATCTTTGAAGAAAAGGAAATCCTCATGGGTGTCCTGCCAGGCTATTAGCACATCATCAACGTACCTAAGATATAAAAGTGGATACGCTATCGTGCGGGAAAAAATCGAAAATCTTAAACTCAATATTCCTCATGACCAACTCTGCCAAGATCGCTGAAAGCTGTGAGCCCATGGGGACTCCCTGCTTCTGTAGATACACTTTGCCCTTGAATTGGAAATAATTATTTTCGGAAATAAAGAGTAGAGCTTCGTATAACTCTAAAACCTCTTGCGCTGTAAAGCCCTTTTTGATTAGCAGCACATTAGCCAGCATAACAGCATCAAACTGTGGTACTGAGGGATAAAGCGCAACAGCATCCAACTTGTAGAAACTATACTCATTTTGAGAAATGTGGCCTAGGACAGACGATATATGGGTCTTTGCCATAACGGAGGAAGAGATGACCAAATAGGAAGGAGGTAGGAGCCCACTTAATAAGTTGGCCAGCAGTAAAATGCTTTAGGGTCTTCTCATCTATACAACTATAATTATTGAACTTAGATACTGAAGATGAATATACAGTGGAACCCCGGTTAACGAACTTAATCCGTTCCACGACTCCGTTCGTTAACTGAATTGTTTGTTAACCGAAGCAATTTTTCCCATAGAAATTAATGCAAATGCAATTAATCCGTTCTAGTCTCCGAAATTTTTGTCATTTTATTTGTAATATACAGTAATTTTCTTTGATGAAAATGTAGGAAAACGTAGTATCTATCATTACAGCAACAAACATGTAAACTTTGTTTAATAAAATAGCACTGTACATACCTTCGTTTGTTGTAGTTGGTGGCAGAAAAGTGGAGATATACGAACCTTAATGCTTAGAAGGGAAATCCCCTCCAAAAAAATAACGGGTAGCACTTCATCGGAAGATTCTTCGAGTCGAAGTCTCTTTCGGTAAAAAAAACCCACCAGTGGCTAAGTGGTCTTCGTACCTTGAACGCGGGGAGTTCGTTCGTGGGTTCGCACTGCGCTCAGACAGGCTGGCCACGTGGAGTTTTCCGTGATTTCTCCACGTCTGTAACACCTAAATAGAGGCCAGTTTCCCTTAAAAATACCTCCCAGAAGTCATTCCCTCTAGTCAGATCACCCAAGTGTTGCGTTGCCATAACTTAACAAAGAAACAAACTCTTTCCGTAAGGAATTGATCTAAAGTTGATTGTCTTACTCTTTTAATCAAAATTTTTCTCAAATGCGATAACGCATTGTAATTTATATTGCGTTGTTGTTTTCTATTGCCACTATGACTTTTTTCTTTCTTGGATGCCATATTGATTAAATATATAAATCACAAAACTGAAAAAGAAGTATAGCACAAACACTCGGAAAAGCAATGCTTAACTCGCGCATGCCTAACACCAACTAAAATTTGAAACAAAATACCGTTACGTTCGTTATCCGAGACAAAATTTTTGCAAAATAAAAGTTCGTTAACCAGGACGTTTGTTAACCGGGGTTCCACTGTATAAACTTGAGCACTTCAGTAATTTTTGATTTTTTTTGTTTCAAAAAGTATTTTTTGATTGAATTATATTTAATTCAGGTTACTTAACAAAATACAGAATACTGTACATAGGAAAGAAACAGTTAAATCATATTTTACATTTTCACTTATTTAAATATAATTTGATATTGAAGTACACATTTTTCTAAATGCTACACTTGACTTTATCCATATAATAAAACTTATTTAATAAAATTTTACTATTTTCAACAGGTTATATTTATATATTAATGAATTAGCATATTAGATCTACAAGGCTTCTCTAAGCTTGGATTTTCTTCTAGAAGATAAAAATGATAATGCAAATGATTTGCATCAGTAACTATGATGAAGAATATATAAATAGAGTAGCTCTTAAGAGAAAAGAAAATATACAACACCAATAAAAGTACACAATGATTCAAGTGAAGAAAGTAATTATAGTAAAAGTGATAATTCAATGGTATTTTTAAGCAAAGATATATGATATATTACAAAAGTGTATACAAATGCATGAAAATCTCTACATGGGGTATGTTCGTAAAGTCAAACGAGTTAAATGTGTTAGTAACGAATTGTTCAAATAGTAGTAGTCTCGCTCAGTGCGCATGCTCTGCGGTGATGACGTTTCGAACGAAACTCTAACGAAGTTCACGAAGGAAAGAGTTAGTTTACTTTGTTAAGAAAATGGCGCCCGACAATATCGATGTTTCTAAATCTACTCGAGTGTTTAAATTGTGAATTAAAAGATGAAATGATTGAAGTAACTGTCCACCCGGAGCAATCTAAGAAAAATATTTCAAATAAGACTGTACTAGCAACATTTGTATCTTCGTTTTTAGAAATAGCCATTTAGTTCTAAATGAATCGTTCGAAAAGTCTAACGAAATAAGAATAACAATGACGTCATTCTCGTTTAACTCGTTCGACTTTACAAACATGCCCATGGACTGATAAATCTAAAGCAAAAGATAGTTATTTGTCATCTGATGTGAAAAAAACAAGCAAAATGATGATGTTGACAAAAAGTTAAGAATAAATTGTTAGGTTAAAAAATACATATAAAATTGTCATTTATGCAAAAATGTCTCTGTTTGAATTATTAAATAAATTTTAATATTCCACAATTTAATTTCAGTCAAACATAAATATTAAGACACAGATGGATTATAAATTTCCATTTTTAAAATGATTAGATGTTTGAAAATAGGATCCTTATTATTGAAATGATTTTATAAGAATTAAATTATTATTTGTTATACATGCATCTTGATAATTGATTTAATTAAACACTTACATTTCTGGAGTTTTCAAATGCGTAAATGGAGGACCTATATAAAAAACAAAATAATATAGATAATCTAATATTTCTGAATAATAAGTTCAAAAAATTTTAATTTATTACAAGTGAGTTTTGTAAATTGTTTATGACAAAAAGTAACAGAATTGTTATTTTACATAATAAAATATTATTATCAATTTTTTCTAATTAATCATAATAATTTTCCAATTGATTTAATATATAGGATATAGAAGATGTTTGTTTAAAAATTTCAGTTATTTTCTTATTAAATTCAAACAAAATTTGAAAATCAACAGAATTATTTTAAGTTTATTCAAGAATACCTACTTATTTATATAGGAGATAATTATACAGTTCTACTATAAAGCAATGATTGTATTTTTTAAAGTTATTGTATATTTTCAAGAAATTAAATATTCAATAGGAAGTGTGCAATTAGAGAAATGAAAAGTTTCAAAAATCCAGAAAAACAAAGATACTTTTCCTAGTGGATTTAAAATGAAAATATATTCATTCAATTATGAGTATATATTATTTATGAAAAAGCTTTATGTGTCTCAAACAAAATTTATTAATAAGGTTTATCATAATTTCAAGATTAAATTGAAATAACAGCTCTTAAATATCTATTAAAAGGCACACTATATATATTTTATTACAGAAATTAGAATTTATTTTACTTAATTTTTATATACTTATAAAATATGGGTACTCTCCTACTTATTTATGTTCAACTTACAAACAGTCACACTTAAAATTTGACTGTACATCTAAAATTTAAATTTCTCACAGATTTTGAAGTTCTTTTGCTGCTCATGAAATGTTGAAGCCAGTCTTTGGCCAGTAATAAATAATTAATGTGAGATTAATTCTATTGCATATCATTTTTGTTTTTGCATGAATTCTGACATTCCACTGCTGCTCATGAGGTAGCATTGAAGATGGCAGTGTTGGAATAAAAATGTTTTTTGCTATTGTTTGCAATTTTTATAAACTTTTACAACTACTGCTTCAAAAAAACATCCAAAATATAATAGTAAATCTAGCAGTGGAGATAAATGCAAGAAGTGCTGCACTATTACCATGGAAATTAAACTGGACATTATAAAACTAACATTTATAGTTAGTTTTATAATGTCCAGATGAAGAAAAAACTGCTTTTGAAACATCTGCTATCAAGCAGTAGCAAGCATGTAAATGAGTGTAATGTATTCTATTAAGTACATTGAAAGATAACAATAAGTGGTTATTCTATGTACTGTACAATATACTTTCTAGGTTAGTTTTCAACTTATGGCAAAACCTCAGAAACTTAACCTGTTCGTAAGTAGAAGAGTACCTGTAAACACAATTCAAATTTAGTATAAATCACTCACCAAATATAGGTGAATTTACACAAGTTAATGCAATACATCCAGGAGGAGTAAATTCAGTCTGACCCACATCACCTTCCAAATGAAAACATTTTGAACAGCTAAAATAAATAAAATTAATTAATTAACTAATAAGTTATTTTTAAAACATAAAATTAAATATTTTTATTTCATTTGTGAAAAATGATATCAGGAAGTTTTATTGAACAAGATAAGTACAAGCATCTTATTTCTTTTCAATTTATGAATGCAAAATTTGTTTTGAGAATATTCAACAAATGGTATAAGATTATAAAAAGATTATTTAGAAATATTAAAACAATTTCAAAACCATGCCTTTTATTCATAACTTTTTACTTTCTGTTTTCATATATTTTATAATTACTATATAATAACTAACAGTTCTCTATGTGTGTTTACGCATATGTGCATTTGACTTGTACAATTTAATCATGTACAATTCTAAAGAAATTAAAACTAATCAAATTATTTATACTTAATAACATACTATATACAGTGTTTATATTTCATTCAAAATTAAACTCATATTTATATATCCTGTCTACCTGTGCAGAGCAAAATGCTCAATCAGTCTGATAGCTGCTATCCATTCTGAAAAATATAACTTGTCTTTTACTGAATGTCTTACTTTTTTCATGTTTGTTTCTGCTTTGTTCTAGAGCAGTAAGTTTCCTTATGACATACATAAGGAAATGATTTTGAAGAGTTAAAGGTAATTGAAGAGAATATTTGATACTTCCTTTCCTTAGAGATGAAGACTATATAAATCAATAGAGTCAAATACATGGTGCTTGTGTTATATAAGCAGAATATATGAGAGGACATATAACTGTAAAAGATTGTTAATAATTTTGATAAGATTGTTAATAATTTAATTTTAAAAAAAATTGATTAATATTGTTACAAAAATATCTGACACTTGACACATGAAATTAGAAATAAAATAATATCAATGTAGGAAAATTTGGAAAGAAAGGATATAAAGGAAGAAGTATAGTTATTGGCTGGCTGATACACTTTACAAAACAAAGATCACCACTTCCTGATAGATCACTCCTTCAGACGGTCTCTTCTAAAACTTAACTTTTTCTGATGTAAAAAAAACAAAAACAAATTTTCAAGGGGATTCAAACTATCTACAGAGAAGCTTTATTCCTTTCACTCTTATGGATTAGCTTCATCCATCCTATCAACACCTTAGCTCAGTTCTAACTCACTCTTTCTTCCCAAGTTTCCTTTCATACTCCAACAAAATTCCTTGTCTTTCTTATGTCAAAGGTTCCCCATATATCAGTCAGTCGATAGATGTCAACCAATTGAGCACACAAAAAAGACAAACAGATAAAGAAAGAGAAACAAAATAAACACATGGTATTCAAATATCACATAATTATTCAAATTTTCTACATTTTGCATTAAAACATTTCTAATTCTAACATTATTAACAACTGAAATATTTTTTTATTTTTGACTGCATTTAAACAATTAGTAAATTATTTAGATTTATTTTTATTTTTAATGTAATAAAAATTATTATATTTAAAATATTTATTTTCATACATAATATAATAGTAATAATGCTTGCTTGTTTACTGTTTATTTTATTACATAGCAATGCACATTGGGCAAATATATGCTATAACTAGCTGTTACCTGCGACTTCGCCTGCGGGGGTTTTGCAAGCAAACCCCATTTATATTCAGTATTTCAACAACCATAGTAATTGTTATATAACACCTACCGCTGAGAATAATGAGAATTGCTGATAATCAAATGAACTATTTTCAATTTGATCAATTTTCTGGAACATTTACAATAATTCTATAATCGAACCAATATCCAATAACAAATTTAAATTTAAAATGGTTTGAATATTTGGTTAAAAAATCAAAATATATGAAAATATTTATAACAATGTCTGAAATGTTATCAATTTAATACATCTAAGTACTCAATGAAGACTAAACATAGTTGAAAACAAAAAAGCGCATCTAAAATAGTAGAAGCCATTCTTCTGGTTAAGCCTTAATGCTCTCCCTCTCCCCGTGGGGGAATTTCAAAAAATCTCTTCTTAGTGTACATTTTCATGACGTACCCTGTGTACGAAATTTCACCTCTTTAGGTTCAGCGGTTTGCTCTGGGCGATGATGAATCAGTGACTCAGTCAGTCAGGACAAGTAATTTTATATATTTAGATAATGCTTATAAAATAAAATAATGTAATAAACAATTATTATTTTATGTGTTACTACATAAACAGATACAACAATATATACATTTCTAATATATATCAAATTATTTAAATTTAATTTCACATTACTTATACATACTTTTTTGATACACAAATAAATAATGTGATTTACTCTTAACTGAACTTTAACTGATTTTAAAATTAATAAATGTTATAGCATTATTTTTAAATTCATAATTATAATTAACTTAAATAAATTGTTAAATTATTAATACTTACTTATTAAGTGCATTATTTATTAGATAACGTAACATTGTTGATTTACCAGAATTTTTTCCTCCACAAATCAGAATTTTTGGTGCTTTATTTATTTCATTACCTATTGTGTTACAATCAATGTCTTAATTATTCAATTCAATTCCAAATTACAGGCAATACTATATATTTTATAAATAAAATAAGAATTTCAAATTCAACTTTATATATAGAGATGCAATACAATAATAATAACCAATCTGATACTGATAAATTAGAATACAGTGGTATCTCAAGAAATTAATCCGTTCCAAAACTGAGATCGTATCATGAAAATGTCATAAGGTGAATCATTTTTACCCATATGATTACATGTAAAACCAAATCATTCGTTCCAACTTGAAAAACACACTCAAATTAAAGCTAAGTAGTACATAAAAAAAGAAAAACAACTATAGTAAGGAAAACATTGAAAAATGCATTTTGTAGTTCTAAATGTATAAATAACTAAATTTTGAATAGAATAATAGAATAATTGATAAAAAAAAAATGTAGTTTTATTTGCACTTTACCTTTGAGGATAGATGATGGTGGAGATGTAAACTGGTGGCAGAAGAGAGGGAGAAGGGAAATAATACTGAAACTTAACTTACATAACATAACAATAACTTAAAAGTAACTTAAAAAAGATAAAAAAATTAGTGTTGTTATATATATATATTTTTTTTTAATTTTTATTCACTACTTTTTGCTTTCTTTCCTTCACTTCTACCAGCACTTTCACTGGATAGAGGTCACTTGGTAAAGTATCTATCCAAAGAGGTTTGGCTTTGCTTACTTTTTAAAATGTTTCTAAAATGACTTAGGCAAATGTCATTACTCTGAGCAGCAATATGGCCAGTGTGAACCTTTTTGGGATGTTTCTTTTCAATAAAATCAGTCACTTTCTGATAATACCTCAAGATTTACTTTATCGAGTGAGATCCTTCCACGATGAAGCAAACACGCGGACTGAGACCAATGAACAGAAGTGAATAAAAAATGGCGCTGCAAACTAATGTAACGTCGTATGGTGAGTTTTTGTTCGTATTGTGGAGCAAAAATATGTTTGAATTTCGTGTCGTATCCTGAAAATTTTGTATGCTGGGGCGTTCGTATCCTGAGGTACCACTGTATTGGAATGTTCCTGACATATCAGTAGTGGTTCATTTTACAAACCAAACATCTTAACTAAACCAGATACAATTGCAATAACCCACCTTCAATTGAAGGTGGGTTATAACAGACTTTCAGCTTCAACAAATACTCCTTTATCTGAATTAGTCCATTAAATTGAAGTTTTACTGTATTATTTCTATTTATATAATATGCTATCTTTTTTAAATACTAATAAATAAAATCCATCCTATCTAAAATAAATCAATTTATATCTTGCACTGACTCTGACTTTCAATTACACAATGTGATCCAAAAGTAATGATACATGACAAAGCAGAATAATTCAAAAAAGTTTCTTGTTTGAATTTTCTATTAAGTAAGCACTGAAAAATTTTACAATTTTATAATAACTTTTCTAAATAGTTAGTTACTGTATTAATTTAAATTTTTTAATATTAAGAAAGACAAGGAAAGACCTCAATTAGACTGAATTTAAGGATTAAAACTTTATACAGTGGGTGATCGGTTAATGAACATTCCATTCCAAGACTTTGTTTGGTATCCGATTGTTTGTTAACCGATTATCGATTTACCATAGGTTTTTATGTGAATTTGATTAATTCGTTCTGGAGATCCCAAAAAATAAAAATATATATACTTTCTTACTATGTTTATTTATATGTAATAATAAAAATACTGTACATATATGCACAGTCTTGCATTTTTATTAGTCATATTTTTCTTCCGTTTGCGGGGGTTAAATAATCTGTCTAATGACAATTGCTTTTCTCTCTTCTTCAAGATTTCTTGGAAGTAATTAATAGCATTGTAATTGTAGAGATTCCCAAACCTATTAACCTCACCCTGGTTTGGATGCCATTCTGACCATTGCTCTGACATCCTCGCACTTCTTCAAAAGATCTTTGATAGCAGATATCAGCATTAATCTTCTTTTTCAGAAGAAAACATATCTCGTCGAGTTTTTTGGTGTTCTTCATTCAAGGGTTCTTTGCGTTCTTCTGTCGTCAGATCAGTTTCAAGTTCCATTATGAGCTCTTCAAATGTTCTTTATTTCTCAGATGTGATTTCTGTTACTCTTTTAGCTGCTTGAGTCTTTTTGATTACATAGTACCTTTCTTAGATAAGATTGAACTGTGGCCTACTGTAGACCTGTTCAAGCCATACTACCCAGCAACATCAGACATCTTTTGCCCACTCTCTACCTTTGCTATTATACGCTCACCTTTCGAAAATAAAAACCAATGCAAAACTTAACGAGTGCCTGCCCGACAGTCTTGCGAATACTATAGAAGAATTGTTTCTGTCAGAAAAATAAAAGGCTAGAATTGGAGTTTCAAAGTTGGGAGAAATATTATCCAATCAGTATATACCGGGTTGAGCGTTGATAGGTTTTTATGTGAAAAGCTCTGAAACGTTTTGAATTATTCTCTGAAGACAAGGGAACACCAATCGGTATTCATTATTTTACGTCTCTTCTTCTTGTGTTTGTTCTGTGAGGTGTTCGTTATCCAATCATGTGTTCGTTGTCCGAATATAAATCTTTTGCAAAAGTGTTTGTTATCCGATTTGTTCGTTAACCGATCACCCATTGTATATGTTGTCTTTTTACTAGTTTATATAAAAAGATTATAAATTAAAGATGTCAACTATACAGTTTATAGAAAACTTTTAAAAATCAAAATATTCTATTTTTCAGAATAAAAAATGATGTTTCAAATTATTAATGACTAGTTATTGTGAAACCTTCACAGTACCTATTTAATGTCTCTTAGAATATATAGTCTTCAGAATACATTAATATTTGAAAAGCAATCCATATTAGATAGGTTGTGATGGCACTTCATGTGTTCAAATACTATGCCTAATGTTCAAAACACTTCATATAAGACTTGTTTAAATAAATTTTTTTTAAATGTTGTAAAATGCAAGAATAATTGCTTTTAAGTATTGAAAGAATCCAGCATTGATTGCATAACTATATCTATCCAAAGAGGTTTGGCTTTGCTTACTTTTTAAAATGTTTCTAAAATGACTTAGGCAAATGTCATTACTCTGAGCAGCAATATGGCCAGTGTGAACCTTTTTGGGATGTTTCTTTTCAATAAAATCAGTCACTTTCTGATAATACCTCAAGATTTACTTTATCGAGTGAGATCCTTCCACGATGAAGCAAACACGCGGACTGAGACCAATGAACAGAAGTGAATAAAAAATGGCGCTGCAAACTAATGTAACGTCGTATGGTGAGTTTTTGTTCGTATTGTGGAGCAAAAATATGTTTGAATTTCGTGTCGTATCCTGAAAATTTTGTATGCTGGGGCGTTCGTATCCTGAGGTACCACTGTATTGGAATGTTCCTGACATATCAGTAGTGGTTCATTTTACAAACCAAACATCTTAACTAAACCAGATACAATTGCAATAACCCACCTTCAATTGAAGGTGGGTTATAACAGACTTTCAGCTTCAACAAATACTCCTTTATCTGAATTAGTCCATTAAATTGAAGTTTTACTGTATTATTTCTATTTATATAATATGCTATCTTTTTTAAATACTAATAAATAAAATCCATCCTATCTAAAATAAATCAATTTATATCTTGCACTGACTCTGACTTTCAATTACACAATGTGATCCAAAAGTAATGATACATGACAAAGCAGAATAATTCAAAAAAGTTTCTTGTTTGAATTTTCTATTAAGTAAGCACTGAAAAATTTTACAATTTTATAATAACTTTTCTAAATAGTTAGTTACTGTATTAATTTAAATTTTTTAATATTAAGAAAGACAAGGAAAGACCTCAATTAGACTGAATTTAAGGATTAAAACTTTATACAGTGGGTGATCGGTTAATGAACATTCCATTCCAAGACTTTGTTTGGTATCCGATTGTTTGTTAACCGATTATCGATTTACCATAGGTTTTTATGTGAATTTGATTAATTCGTTCTGGAGATCCCAAAAAATAAAAATATATATACTTTCTTACTATGTTTATTTATATGTAATAATAAAAATACTGTACATATATGCACAGTCTTGCATTTTTATTAGTCATATTTTTCTTCCGTTTGCGGGGGTTAAATAATCTGTCTAATGACAATTGCTTTTCTCTCTTCTTCAAGATTTCTTGGAAGTAATTAATAGCATTGTAATTGTAGAGATTCCCAAACCTATTAACCTCACCCTGGTTTGGATGCCATTCTGACCATTGCTCTGACATCCTCGCACTTCTTCAAAAGATCTTTGATAGCAGATATCAGCATTAATCTTCTTTTTCAGAAGAAAACATATCTCGTCGAGTTTTTTGGTGTTCTTCATTCAAGGGTTCTTTGCGTTCTTCTGTCGTCAGATCAGTTTCAAGTTCCATTATGAGCTCTTCAAATGTTCTTTATTTCTCAGATGTGATTTCTGTTACTCTTTTAGCTGCTTGAGTCTTTTTGATTACATAGTACCTTTCTTAGATAAGATTGAACTGTGGCCTACTGTAGACCTGTTCAAGCCATACTACCCAGCAACATCAGACATCTTTTGCCCACTCTCTACCTTTGCTATTATACGCTCACCTTTCGAAAATAAAAACCAATGCAAAACTTAACGAGTGCCTGCCCGACAGTCTTGCGAATACTATAGAAGAATTGTTTCTGTCAGAAAAATAAAAGGCTAGAATTGGAGTTTCAAAGTTGGGAGAAATATTATCCAATCAGTATATACCGGGTTGAGCGTTGATAGGTTTTTATGTGAAAAGCTCTGAAACGTTTTGAATTATTCTCTGAAGACAAGGGAACACCAATCGGTATTCATTATTTTACGTCTCTTCTTCTTGTGTTTGTTCTGTGAGGTGTTCGTTATCCAATCATGTGTTCGTTGTCCGAATATAAATCTTTTGCAAAAGTGTTTGTTATCCGATTTGTTCGTTAACCGATCACCCATTGTATATGTTGTCTTTTTACTAGTTTATATAAAAAGATTATAAATTAAAGATGTCAACTATACAGTTTATAGAAAACTTTTAAAAATCAAAATATTCTATTTTTCAGAATAAAAAATGATGTTTCAAATTATTAATGACTAGTTATTGTGAAACCTTCACAGTACCTATTTAATGTCTCTTAGAATATATAGTCTTCAGAATACATTAATATTTGAAAAGCAATCCATATTAGATAGGTTGTGATGGCACTTCATGTGTTCAAATACTATGCCTAATGTTCAAAACACTTCATATAAGACTTGTTTAAATAAATTTTTTTTAAATGTTGTAAAATGCAAGAATAATTGCTTTTAAGTATTGAAAGAATCCAGCATTGATTGCATAACTAGCCCAGCTATTATGAGATTTATTTAAAAAATAACATTTATAATTTTAATTACAATATAACTTAATAAAATTGTGTACATCACCATCTGTTATGATATTTTGTTATAAAAAACATTTTACAGTTTTAATTATTATAAAATGGCAAAAAGCTTAATTTTGAGGGTAGGGGTGAGTTTTATAAAAAAGTATAAATGTTAATAATGAGTAAAATAGTTATTAACTCCAACCCTACTAGAGAAAATACACACAACCCCCTTTATCTCCCTACCCCTTGACCTTTAACCACCAAAATTTAATAGCATCAATTCCTCTCATATACAAGCCACCATATCAAATTTCATCATCCTTAATTTTTAATCCATCAGTAGATATTAAGTGTAATAGATGCCAACACACATACACAAAATTTTTTTGCTGTTTTTGGATTCAGGAGGTCTCAAAATGTGGAGATTTGCAAAAATCTGAGGGTCAAATATGACACAATTCCAATACTTTCCCTTGTTATGTATACATAAGAACCAGGAAAGTAAAAGTGTTAAAGTTATTTTTAAGTGATATAGAACAAATTGTTTCATTGAAAACAATAGCATGTTCTAAATCCTTTTTCCTTAAAAGAACAGCATTAGTCTTGGTTAAATATTACATATACTATCATAAATAAATATTCTCATTAAAAAATCTAATGAATAATTTCACTCTGATCCCATTCTGTTAAGGAATTACTTTTATCCAGTAAAAGATTTGATCATCATCTTAGTCAAAGATGTTTAACTAGAATGAATAGCATGTTAGAATTTGTATACATATACATATAATGAAGAGAGAACATTTTAATTGTTTTTTAGAAATTTTTTTTACAAAAATGTAGTTAAACTAACTTGTATTTTAACACACAAATGTAAACTTACTTTAAATTATGTGTATATTATATTACTAGCTGTTACCTGTGGCTTCGTCCACATGGATTTTGCAATTTGATAGAAATAACCCACTCATGGTACTTCACTAAGATTCTCAATCATTAGTTGTAACTAATTCGGTAAAATTAATGATTTTTGTTTGTTTCAAACTATGGACTGCTAATGCACCTAAATTCAAGTTTCAAATATTATGGGATTCCGAGATACAATAAATCTGAGTTTAATGTTTTTTGAAACATTAAACTCAGATTTAATCATTTTCAGATAATTTTCAGATAATGTCATTTGTTTTTTTGAAACATAAATGACATTATCTGAAAATTCCTAAAGTATAAATATTTACAGAAAAATAGAGTTTCAGTTACCCCAGTACCTCTTTGTAAACCACATTTGTGGTACTGCCTTTCAGGGTTAAGACTTCTTAAGCCTTAATCCTCTCCCTCTCCTCTGCGGGGAAATTTCGAAAAATCCCTTCTTAGTGTGCATATTCATGATGTACCCTGTGTACCAAATTTCACCTCTTTAGGTTCAGTGATTTGCTCTGGGCAATGATATGAATCAGTGAGTCAGTCAAGACATAATTTTATATATATATAGATTATTGTATATTATGCTTATATTAATATATTAATATAAACTTTAATAATTTATAATAACAAATATAAATTAAAAAAATAATAATTTCCATCTATTTTTCTATATAAATGCTTTATTAAAAAGACACTATCTGANTACATGATTATACATATATATATATATATTGTATTTATATAGAAAAACAAACTATATACTGAATAGTGAATAAGTTAAAAATCACATCTTTATCAATCCAGCAAATGATTTTTAGTACATAAAAATGTTTTCAATCATTTTAAACGATTGAAAACGTTTTTATGTACTAAAAATTGTTTGCTGGATTAATAAAGGTGTGATTTTTAACTTGTATAGAAAAAATTGTGTAGATATATACAATTTAAAAAAATAGTTACATAAAAATATAAATTAATTTACCTGATAAATTCATTGCATTATCTATTATCTTTGATAAATGATGATGATAATTATTGATTTTAAATTTGCAAATCTTTGGTCTATCTTGGACATAATTTTCTGATACTGAAGGAAAATTTTGAATACCTAATAACTTTGTGTATTCTATTTGTTTAAATTCTTTAGGTGATAGCAAAACTACTATAGAATCTTCCGAAAGGGAAGGCTTCATTATTGCAAACAGATCTGTTTGTATTTCTTCCAATTTTTTAACAAGATCTGTTTCCCAATCTGAATTTGATGAGGGATGATTAGTACACATTGAAAAAAATTTAAAGGTCTTGGATGAGAATACACAAATTGGAGATTTAGTTGAATCTAATTTATATCCAAATATTGTAACAGAATCTTTTAGTGACTGAACTTCTAATATACCTTTCAAAACAATTTCTGCAGGATGATGCAACACCAAAATAATTTGATTAGTTCTTTTAATATGGAAACTCCTGAAATAATAAATTATGATATTTTAAAAATCAATTTTATATTAAAAACTGTTGCAATTTATTAATCAATTTGCTAAATTTTCTAAAAATATTGTAATAAATATAGGCTATTTAATATTGAAACATTTAATATTGTAAAATGTTCAAAACTAACAATTTTCTGTTTCTTAAAGTATTACATCTCTTACAATTATTGATGGTATATAAAATTTCATGTATTTTAATATGATTGTTTAAATTAACATTTCCTAAAGAATTTTAAGGATTTTAAATTTAAGGACCAGTTGCCATGAGTATTTGTTCCTATAAATAAATCTCTCTTCACATGTATCTTTTGTCTAATGTTTTTATATGTTTTAATTCTCTAATTTTTTCCCCTCTCTCTAAATTTAATTTGAAACCTAAAATTTGTCAACTAAGTAGGTAGATCAAAACAAGAAATATTTCTTTTATACACACCTCAAAAGTGAAATTGCAACACCACAAAGGAATGTGTAAGTTTGCCAATTAGGGGTTTTTATTCCCTTTCTTTGGGATGGTCTAAGGCAGGCATGGCCAACATACTGCCCGTCTAATGAATTTATGCAGCTCACGATTAATCTTTCAATATTAGCTACTCAAGTCAGAATAGCTCAATAAAAAATTCTGACGCCTAAAGAAAAAAAAAAAGTTCAACAACTCACTGTACATTTAGAGTTAACCCTTCATTACAAATCTCTTAAGAACAGCGTAGAATGTTGATAAAGCATGATAATGTGAAAAAACGTATCTGTAATCTCTATGTACAATTTAGTCTGTACAGGGTGGCACCACAATGAGATCTCTCACCACCTCAAAATCTTCCTAGGACAGTCTCTGATTCGGCCCGTGAAAAAAGTTTTTTCCAATTCGGCCTGGGGGCAAAAACTGTTGGCCACCCCTGGTCTAAGGCCTTCGTGTTTGCGGATGACGGTTTTCAGAGGTAGAAAAAGACAAGTGTTTCACAAAGAAACCATTTACTTTTCAAAGATCATGCTTATAAATGATTGACAAGGTCCCAGACATTGCTGTCCCATAGGTTAGATGTCTCTAGGGGTTTTCTTGCATGGGTGGAACCCTGGTGCAATGGCAAAATAGAGTTCAGAGTAGAAAAGATGCACTAGATATCAATTAGCAGAAGCACGGAGAGGAGAGAATGAGGACCAAAAAGGGTATTCTCTAAAGGAAGCTTTCTTGTCCCTGACAGCTGAGGTTTTATAAGTTTTTTTGGATTGATTTATTTCTAATTGGTCGGGCTTTCCCTTCCCCACTCCTCTATTGGTCTCTTACCTGTCTCTTGGTGAAAATTGAGACCAGTTTAGGTCACAAGAAAGGTCAGCCCAGGATGGTTTATTCGATACTATCCTCTCAACTCTGATTGCACTTTATTGATGACTAGCAGACCCCACCACGCCTTGTCTCAAAATGTATCTATTATAAATGTATAACACTTCCCCCATGGGGGGAATTTTCCAAAAAATTTCTTCTTATTGTACATTCTCTTGACATACCCTATTAAAACGCAATCAAAAACGCAAAAACCCGCATCTAAAATAATATAATAGAAGCCAAGTTCTTCACAGTAAGCCTTAATCCTGTCTCTCTCCCCCGTGGGGGGGAGTATAGAGAAATCCTTCTTAGTGTACATTCTGTTGACGTACTCTATTAAAACGCAATCAAAAACGCAAAAACCTGCATCTAAAATAGTATAAATAGAAGCAGAGTTCTTTATAGTAAGCCTTATGGAAAAGGCTTACGTCCATCTTCCATGTTTAACGGAATAATATACAGCCTATGTCCACCCTGAAGTTCCATTCTAAATATTGGTGAAAAAATTTTTGAATTCGGATGAATAGTTTCGGAGATTACCTGCTGCATATAAACTTACATATATACTTACAAACATTACCTCTTTATAATATTAGTATAGACTAAGACACCTACACTCATTCTTTTACATTCTCATTTCGTTTTACCTTATTGCATCTTAAGTTTTAAATATTTCCCCTTTTTAATTTTCTTTTATTCTAAAATTTTGTTTTCCCCTCTATTCTTTTTGAGTGACAATGTCAAAGTCAGGTGTTGCAGACTCGACATATATATAACTTGTTTTCTTGATGGTTTAACTTAATAATAAATTTTACATTCCCCCTTTTTTTTGGACTATTTCAGGGGCCTCACAAATGCACATAGCCAAGCGCAAATTGCAAGATTGTTAGAGATGACAGAGGTATGCAAATGATTACGTTTGTGTATGCATCAGGTCATGTAATATCCAGTTTATGGCTAAAGATCAACAGCTGGCTCAGGTTGTAAATGCTATCAGTGACAATTTGTAGCAACAGAACTTTTGAAGAAGCATAGAAAATGCCTCAGATATGACAGTGAGCTGAATACCACTGAGTAACAGCTGGGAAACAAGTGATTGCATCCTGAAGCAGCACAATTTCATTTTGTTGATGTGCACAGTTGCTATGTGTTGGGCACAAAGAGCAATTTAACTTTTTGGTATTCTATCATAAGCTCAATATGTCCCTCAATCGGCTACACAGCATCTTCCTTTCTAAATTTAAAAATAAATCGCATAGAAGAAAATCACTCGTTGCTTGCTTGAGTACAATCCAGCAATGCGTGACATGAAGAATGCAAGAACATCTGCAAACTGTGATTAGCCAGCTATAGGGGAATCATTTAATTCTGCATCAGGATAGTCAAGGGTCAATTCGTATGTGGTGGTGGCGGCAGAGTGCGCCTTTACATAAAAACCATTTATTTAAAGCAAAAAAGGATGCTTACAAAAGTGTGCTACAGGTTCCACATGATTATGTTTGAGTATGCATCAGTCCACAATGCATACACAATGGGGAGCAATAATGCTCCCCATTTGTATACTGATGCTATCACTCTGATGACAAATGACTCAATATTGTCCAAGGATGCAATTAAGAAGAACTGCCTGTTCTGCATGTCTGTGCTGAACACTTCATTCTGCTGTGTGCTATCTAGTGTTCAGTGCTGTGTCCCTGAAAACCAGGGTTATATCAATCTCTGTCCCTCAATCACCCACTCCAATTGGTCGTTTTCTCTCGTCCTCGTTCTCAGAGTGGTTGTTTCCTCTTTACCAGGTGTAATAAGATTCCCACCTGAATCATGGCAAAATTGAAGTTAAATTCAATCTCCCAACCGAAAATGGTCAATCTTACAACTTACATTCCTTCTCTTGTTTATGACTTTGTGTTGCATCATTTTAAATAACAAAATCTGAGTCTAGCTGCTAACTATTTTTTCTTTCGTTTTCTTTCTTTTTTCTTTCCAAACTGAATTTTTTTGCGAATTTTATACTGGTTTGGACCTGTCCAGAACCTCACAAAACACACTGAAGAAGAAATGGATTGCATTGGCTCACAACAGAACACACAGACTGGTAAATTCACCAAATGGCCCATTGAGACCTGTTTGCCATGGCATATGACATCTGAAGCCACTTGAAGCAAACATTGGGCACATCTGAGTCTATACAATCAATTTGCAACAGGTTTCATGTATGCATGGCAACCAGCAATAAGTGTGCTATTAACTGCTCAATACAGGGCTGCATGCCTGGTGGGGTGTCATTGCAACTGGATCTCTGAATGACATCAGGTATTGTTTACAGATGAAACCTGCTTCTGTCTGTGGAAGTATGATGGTTGTGGATGAATGAGGCTTTCTGAAACTTCTATTTTGAGATTTATGCCATTAAAATAAATAAATAAATAAATAAAAAATTTCTCGGTTTTGTTTATACGTTTATTGGGCCGCATGCCTTGGACACCCATGCTGTAGACAATAATGGACGCAGCTTGGCGAGGGATACCTCAAGCAACTGTTAATCACCTCATTGATAGTATGCCTCGCTGTATAGTGAGTGACCTGTATAGCTGCCCTTAGGGGCCATATTTGTTACTGAATAAACAGCCATCTGTTGCATATCTTTGTTCTTCTAATCATTTGCATATCTCTGTCACCTCTGCTGGTTCTGCAATGTGTATGTGGCTACATGCATTCCTTCATGGTGTTTCAATTTCATGTTTGAAGAATGTATAAAAATATCTTGAACATTTTAAATGTTTTCAAAGCAGGGATGTAGCCAGAAATTTCTGTCTGGCATCACCTGTATGGCTGATGGCTTGAATAGACTGAAGATTACTTTAAAAACACAATAGCCCACAATCACTAACAACATATCATTGTGCAAGGAGTTAACATAGCAATATGGTAGCTCCTTGTCATATGCAAGCAATAGGGGCACATCTGTCAGTGTTGTGTCATCAATACTAATATTTTCTTTTTTAAAGGCAAGGTGTAATTCACTGTATTTTTTAAATAATTATTCAATAGAATTGTGAAATTTGTGTGTGGAGGAAAAAACTGTGGATACCTGGCATATTTTGGCTAAATGTGGATGTCTTAAAGTGTTGCAAACAAAAATTTTTGGTTGCGTTGTTCTTTCCAAGGGGCATGATTTCTCTACTATAAATTTGGTTTCATTGCTGGTGTAGTTTGGGAGCATCTGTCAGTGTTGTCATTGATACTAATATTTTCTTTTTACAGGTAAGAAATATTCTTATTCATAATTAAATTATTNACAATATTAATGAAAAAATAAATAATAGTGTATATAATTGCTGGTATAAGGATTTAAATGTTACTTTTTTTGATAATTTTTTATATAATCAAGATGTTTCCCTTAATATTTTGTCTTTATTTATACAGGTTAGATGTAATTCTCTGAATTTTTTGAATAATTATTCTAGAGAATTGTATAATTTTTGTGTTGAGAACGAAATTGTGGATGCCTGACATATTTTGGCTAAATGTGGGCGTCTTAAAGTGTTGAAATTTTTGGTTGTGAAGTTCTTATCAGGTCTTTATTTCTTAAAATTTTATTGGAACCATGCTATCAATTTAAAGTGTTTTGTTTCTAAGAAAATCTGTTGATTTTTTGTCTTAGGGGGCGTGATTCCTCTACTATAAAATTGGCCTTACTGCTGGTGTTGTTTGGGAGCATCTGTCAGTGCTGTGTTTTTGTTACTAATTTATTTCTTTTTTATAGGTAAGCAATTTGCTTTCTCTTTTGGTTGATTGTTTTATTTTATCTTGTTTATTGGTTTTGTATTATTATTGACAGATGCTCCCAAATTTTAATTTTAACTTTAACCTTAAATTTAAGTTCTTATATAATTCTTATATAATTTATTAATGTATATTTTTGTTTGTGATTTTATGTTCAATGTACTGTATTTAAGAGATTTGTTTTTGGGAGATGGTATTGCTCCCTGCATCAAGGAATGTATCCAGTATGCAAAATAAATAAATAAATAAAATAAGCAAACCAATGATGTACATAACAATGCTCAATAAAAGAAAAAAAATGGAAAAGCTGATCAAGAACAAATATTAAATTTTATTATTATTTTTTATCTCATGGCTATTCATATAGCTTAGTATTTGAGTCCGATTTGTCTGTTTTTCTGTTTCATCCCGTAGTCGATTGTCTGTGACATTCTTTTTTTAGGTTGTTTTTACTTTTAAATTTGAGTAGAGTGCAGCAGGATCAACAGAGAGTGAGAGGTAGAATAGCATTAATGTGAAAAACACTATTCTGTGCAACTACATCCTTAGCAAATGTATGATTACCATAAATTTATATAAATAAGAACTTTTGCTGGCTTTTCAAAAACAGATAACATTTTTACAATCAACATACTTGCAAAGTTGTTTATAATTATATTAATATTTAAAATCTACATATTCTAATTTCAATTTATTTTAAAGAAGAAAAGAAAGAAAAAAAAAAAATTCCTAATAAATCTAATTTGACAAAAATAAATTACAGTAACTCCTTGATTTAGGATCCTGATTTAATGGACAAAAAAATTTGTCCAATAATAAAAATTTAAAACCTGTTTATTTGCAAATAGAACATGCTAAAAGGTGGATTAGAGTCAGAGTTTAAATTATTATTTTATTCATAGTTATATGTTTTTAAAGCATATTCAATTTAAAGGACTTCAGGCAATAATAGACCCACCTTTCCCCCAATTAGTCTGTTAAATCAACAGTTTACTATATTTATCATTAATTTTTATTGATGCTATCAGATCATTTTTAGCTAATTTATGAAAAAAATTCATTAAATTTCAACAATACTTTAAACTGAAAATATGAAAACTTTACTTTTAATTTATTATTCTATCATTATGTAATACACTTACATTATATTATCTTTCTTTCTCAATTTTAAATCTTCTGTTATAGTTTGTACCTAAAATTAATAATAATAATAAGGTTCCATTCGTCTAAGGAATGTATTCAAATTTATACATACTTTTTTTGCTTTTCTTAAGTCATCATCATAAGTATTAATTTCATCATCACTAAGATAGCTTTCATCACTTATTGTATAATATAAATTTACTTCATTCTCTTCACACTCATCTGTATTTGAATTTAGTTGATTTCTTTTAAAAGATTTCAAATTATTTAAAAATGGTGAACTTTCATTATCACTACTATCGCTTTCAGAAGAACTAAAGTTCAATGGGCACTTCAAATCTGTAGTATTATTGCAATGAACTACTTTTATGAAATCTTCATTATATTCAATACAATCATTAAATGATTCTTTGTTTTTATTTAGAAATTCAGAAATCACTTTATCTTTTTTAAATTTTTTTCTATTACTTTTATCTAATTTCATAATTGAAGATTTTTGCTTTTGTTTATTCAATTTGCTAGATGAACTACACTGTCTTTGAATATTGGAATCTTCTTTAAGATTTCTTTTGTTTTTATTGCTGTTAGAATGCATATCATCATCTTCACTGATAATGGAATTTCTATTTACAGGTAATAATGTAGATATATCTTCAGAATCAAGAAATTTGTGTGGCATTTCTGATTTTATATCACAAACCAACTTCTCTTCTTGGATTATATTGCTCCCACCACATTCTTTATATATATTATCTAATGACACACTGCCATTTTCTATTCTTTTTGAATTTTGTGAAAATCTCTGACAAGAAGAAACCAGAGCCTGAAACCATAACTTTCTTTTTGTTGAAATTGGCACTGACTTAATTCTTGATTTTTGGTATCTTGGAAAAGTCTTATTAAATCCCATTTCTTCAAATTTCTAATTATAAATTAACAACCTATTAAAAAAACATTTCAAATTAATACTTCAAATATTTCAGTTAAATAGCTTATTAACATAAAATAAGTTATTGTACTATAAACAAGAATTAAAATTTAAATCTATGATAGCACTTTCTTTTTTTCATTTAATGTTATTTTGTGTAAACAAAATACAGAGGATGAAAAATGAAAACACAGAGGATGAAAAATGAAAATACCATTAAACAACATATCCACACCAAATATAGCATGAATATTCTTTGATACACTAGAAAAAATACCCTATTCCTCTAATCAATCCTAGTCCTCTCAACTTCATGCAAAGCAATTTTTTGTGTTTTGCAGTTTTACTATTGTAATTAGGTCAATAAAAGAACATTTTAGTTAGTAAGTCATTGTTTTTATCACCCTCTCCCAACACAACTTCACCAATCCCTATCCTCTCAAAAGTCCAAACAACACCAGGCACAGGCAGCCAATTATCTATAAATTTATTCTTAGATTCCAGAAAATATCAAATATCCTTTTTTTCGCACTCCATAACACCTATATATGACTATTATTTCTAGTTTCACACTATCCACATTATCAAAAAGTTGGAGAGGCTTCCATTTTGCTCATGTTTTCATTTATTATTTCTTATCTATTATTTATGTTTATTCTATATTTTAATATGATCATCAAAACAAAACATGTTAAATTTTACTTTTATCTGAATTCAAAATTTCCTTCTATATCAAAATTCTTATGTATATATTTATTTACAAAGTTTATACTTACTGTACGGTATTTTTTGTTAATATAATTTAATATGATTTGTTTCATATACAGGTAACCCCTGTATAACACGGTAGTTACGTTCCAAAAAATTGTCGTGTTATGCGAATCCGTGTTATATGAAACAAAGAACTAATACGAAAAGGAGGGTTAGGTTCCAAAAATTAAAAAACATGCTATTATATTTTCATAATTAAGTTAAATATCTTCATTAAAATTTTTAAGTGATACATATTAATATAAATTAAACAATATTTTCTTCGTCATCGCTAAAAACACTATTAATTAATTAACCGAGAGCGTTTTTTTTGGCAAGTTATCCTTATGCTCTGAGTATTTTTCTGCATTATCTTCAGATCCATGCTTTACCTTTTGCAAAATGTATGTAATTTTAGATTGCTTGCTTCTAGTTAAAAGGTCTTTATAAATTTCCTTATATGGTGCTAAGCACTTATGAAGAATAAAGCAAGTATGGAATAAGGGAAAAACATTCGGCAACATCAGAAGCAGAAGCGTCGCGATCTGGCAACATTGAAACAAGTTTCGAGAAGGACCACGTGTATCGACAGAAGGCGAGAAGAGAAAATTTACATACTTAAGTACTAATAGTTCACGAAAATAATAATTTTTGTGAACTATTATTAGTTAAGTATGTAAAAATTTATTACATTTCCTGTTGTACGAGGGTTTTACCCAATTCTCGAACCATGTCAGAGTGAATCCGTGCTATAAAAGTACCGTGTTATACGGGGGATGGTACCAATTCTCGAACCGTGTTAGAGCAAATCCGTGCTATAGAAGTGCCGTTTTATACGGGGGTTACCTGTATTACAAATTTCTCCTCTATTTCATCACATTTCCATGATTACAGATGCTCCTATTTAAAATTCTGATATATAATAAATTTTTCAACTATATATATTCTATATCTTAATTTATATATCATATATTCTGTAAACAGTTAAAAGATTTTCTTCTTTGCCTACCTAAGTAATGCATGACAGCAAAAAAGTTGTGATTGTAAGTTTGCTATCATGCATTAATTATGTAGGCATGGAAGGATCTAACTACAATCTAAGTTAATGTTTTCTAAATTGCAGATGATACCAATCCGTTTTAAAATGTAATATATATTTACTGTATATTCATTTAATCAAATTATTATTTATTTCACAAGGTATTACACGTTTAATACAGAATTATTCTCGAAATTAACTTACTACAAACTTCGTCCAAAACAAAATCACGAACCACGTGTTCTCTAAATAATTTAAAATAAAAACTGAAATGCGCACGCGCAGAAATCACTAAATAATTTCACGAGGAAAAAATTGATATAACTATAGTTTCTTACCATTACGGATTTTCTTCTTAATTTTTATTTTAACAGACATATATTCAATAGAAATTTTCAAAACACGTATAAAAAACGCTATAAACAAAAATCGATAGGACTACTTACCGACTCTGCATTGTTACGGCTGCAGAGTCTTGCTTATGCTCCTTTTCGTCGTGAAGCAGCACGGCGGAGGCACACAAAACGAGTCACGGTGGCCGACTTGACGTCGCTTTGTCACGTGACTATATAGAAACATCTGACATACAGTATTTCCGAAAAACTTTTCGGACTCTGAAGAGTCCGAGGACCACAGTTTGATAAATATTAAATTTGTTTTGTTAATAATACATTAAATTAAAAAATAAGTACTTTATAAAATTTCATTATCGGTGAATATCCAATAAACCCAATAATCTAGATTTATGATTTAGCACACGCCATTACATTGTTCAGCTTGCCGTCAGCTGTTTTTAATACAGACAGTCATAATATATTTGTTAAATGTAAATTCTTTAGTTTTAGAATTCATTGAAACAATCTACATTCCAGTTTTTAAAAACTGCACAAACATAAATAATACGTAATTTTAACTTGATTTACAAACAAAACAAGGAAAACAGAAAATTATTCTGATAATTGCCTTTTTTAAAATAAATAAAAATGAAAATAAAATCAGCATAAACAGTATTTTTTACATTATGTGATTTTTTTTTACTCTTTCCGCCCTCTGGGCACTAAGAGGGCCTCTTATAGCAGGTCCATTATGGGTTCGGTCAGGCCTACGATAGGGCGACCGGGTGGTGAGGGACAGGCCCAACATATCCGAACGGACCACCCCCGAAAATTCCTGGGGATTCCTTGACCCGTCCGGATTCGATCCCGTGTCCCCCAGAGCGGTAGGCTGCCACCTTGATACATTATGTGATTATTCTGAATGTAATGAAAATAATTTTATTACATTAAAGTCGGCTGTATGATCGCGCAGAAATTATTTACTTACAGCCCTAAGGGAATCAGATTCAAATATAATTCGAGTCCCCCTAATATAATAAATGGTAGTAAAGAACTAATTTCGCTCTCTATTTCTCGCCTATTCTGGGATGACTATACAGTATTGAGAATTGGATCCATTCGTAGTGGACGTTGTCATATAAACACGAGATAAATACAGTATTTGCTTAACGTTTTAAGCAGGGAGGGATCTAGGTTTTTCGGGGCCTAGGGCTTTATTGAAGTCCAATGGGTTTTTGTTAATACAAATAATAATAATATAATAATAATGATAATTTATATTATTATTAACTATTTTTTTACTATACAATAAGTGCTCATTATTAATGAAAAAGTATTAAAAATTTTAGATAATAATTCAACTTTTGTGGCCCCTTGACACTTGGGACCCAGGGCCAAGTTCTATTAGTCCCTATGTAGATCCGCTCCTATACACACCACGCTGTGCTGTGCTACCTGTTTCAGTAATGGCGTGTAAGAGCGCGTCTATTTCGTGTTATATCATTGTCGTAGTAATTAAGTGAATATAATGTATATATTTTAAAATTATATCCTTTTTGTAAGAACTATATTTAGTTATTTATTTTGTTATTTTTTCCCAATAGGCAGTGCTGTGTGTAAAGCCAGCAATCAAATGTACTGTACAAGAAATTAATCGATATATCCAACAAATCCAATCGATAATTTGGTGTGGGATGTACTGTATGTACGTCATGATCTAAGTTGGAAGCATTTGAACATAACTACCGAGCTTTGTATCAATCGATCAAAAGGCCTAGGCGTGTATAGCAAATTAATTAATTAGAAGTGGCATTTCCTTTTTAAACTTAAAATTCTGGATCTGCTGTATATATATACAGTAGGTGCTGTATATATATACAGCAGATCCAGAAATATTTAGAGGGAGTGCAGAAAAGAAGCAATATGTGTTACAAAATTTTTTACTATGTGAGGTACCCTGCTTTACTGGAGAAAACCAACAAAAGAGGGTTACAGCTGCTTCCTGCGCACCCCGTAATCTGCCCCCGAGTACAAAAAAAATCTGAATAAAACGGAAAAAATGTGCAATTCCGGTTTACAAGGGTTTTTATTTATATACAGTGGGTGATTGGTTAACGAACAGATCGGATAACGAACACTTTCGCGAAAAATTTTTATGTTCGGACAACGAACACATGATCGGATAACGAACACCCCACAGAAGAAACACAAGAAGAAGCGACGTAAAATAATGAATACCGATTGGTCTTCCCTTGTCTTCGGGCAACAATTCGAAATTTTTCGGAGTGTGGGAGATGTCGACATCGACGCTCAAGCCGGTATATACCGATCGGATAGTATTCCTCCAAACTTTGAAACTCTCCCTTGTAATTCCAGCCTTTTATTTTTCTGACAAAACAATTCTTTTATGTATTCGCGAGACTGTCGGGTGGGCACTCGTTAAGTTTTGCGTCTGTTTTTCTTTTCGAAAGGTAAGAGTATAATAGCAAAGGTGGGCAGATGTCTGTTGTTGCTGGGCAGTATGTATGGCTTGAACAGGTCTACAGTAGGCCGCAGTTCAAGCTTATCTAAGAAAGATACTGTACTATCAAGAAGACTCAAGCAGCTAAAAGAGTAACAGAAATCACATCTGAGAAATAAAGAACATTTGAAGAGCTCATAATGGAACTTGAAACTGATCTGACGACAGAAGAACGCAAAGAACCCTTGAATGAAGAACACCAAAAAACTCGGCGAGATATGTTTTCTTCTGAAAAAGAGGATTAATGCCGATATCTGCTATTAAAGATCTTTTGAAGTGAGAGGATGTCAGAACAACGATCTTAGAATGGCATCCAAACCAGGTTGAGACTTGGGGATTTCTACAGTTGCAATGCTATTAATTACTTCCGAGAAATCGTGAAGAAGAGAGAAAAGCAATCGACATTAGAAAAATTTTTTAATCCCACAAACGGAAGAAAAATATGACTAATAAAAATGCAAGACTGTGCATATATGTACAGTATTTTTATTATTACATATAAACAAACATAGTAAGAAAGTATATATATTTTTTTTATTTTTTGGGGTCTCCAGAACGAATTAAATTAAATTCCCATTAAAACCTACGGTAAATCGATAATCGGTTAACGAACAATTCGGATAGCGAACAAAGTCTTGGAACGGATTATGTTCGTTAACCGATCACCCACTGTATGCATAATGTAATATAATACTAGTATAAAGCGGTTCCGTTCTCTGAAAACTAAAGTTCGGTCGTGGGTTCGCGCCTCGTCCGGACGGGCTAACCACGTGGAATTTTCCGGGTTTTCTCCACTTTTGTAACGCCTGAATACGGACTAGTTACGCTTAATTAAAGACTTCCCGGAAGGCATTCTCCTAGGCAGATCGCCTAAGTGTTGCGCTGCCGTAACTTACGAGGGTCGTCCCAGAAGTACCCGACCTGACATAGATGGCGGTACTTGTTTGAAAAAAAATGACTGTGTTCGAAAGTATCAACCTTATAAAGCTTAAGTTTGAAGTTTGAAGACGTTACGTTGTATAGTATTTTTTTTGGCAGCCATAAATCGTGAACAATCTCAGTGAATTTGTAAACATGGAAAAAATTTGTCATCGTTATGTGATACAATACTTTCATTTGAAAAGTTTCAGTCCAACAAATATTAAAGCTGAGCTAGATTCTACTCTGGGGGAGTTTGCTCCCTCGTTTACAACAATAAAATATAGGGTGGCAGAGTTTAAACGAGGCCGTACGAGCAGAGCCGGCCCTACCATAGGGCGAACTGAGCAGCCGCTCCAGGCGCTAAGTCCTAGGGGGCGCCTCAGTGGTAAAGAAAATTAAAGGAAAAAAATATTTTTTTCACTTTTCGATATTTTAATTGCAAGCGTGTGGCCAGTATATGAATGGCCTTATCTGTTGAGACGCGCGTGGGCGGGGTTCCAACCCCGCCTAGGTTACAGGCAGGGATGCCACCTGCGGTGACAACTCTGCTGGCACCNTTGGATGACAGTCAACTCAAAGTGCGAGAGCTAGCAGACATGGTAGGCATTTCAAAAAGTGCTGTACATCGCATTTTAACTGAAAATTTGGACATGAGAAAGCTGTGCGCAAGATGGGTGCCGCGTTTGCTCACAATGGGACAAAAACAGCGTCGTGAGGATGTTTCAATCGAGTCTTTGGCAATGTTTCGCAGCAACAAAGCCGCGTTTTTGCGTCGATTCATAACCATGGATGAAACATGGGTCCATCACTTCACACCTGAGACGAAAGAACAGTCGAAACAATGGACTGAAAGGGGAGAATCAGCTCCAAAGAAGGAGAAAACAGTTCCAGCTGCTGGCAAGGTCATGGCGTCAGTTTTTTTGGATACGCCCAGGAAAAGCAATCAACGGCAAGTATTATGCGAACTTATTGCAGCGCTTGAGTGATGAATTCAAGAAAAACCGGCCACATTTGGCGAAAAAGAAAATATTGTTTCATCAAGACAACGCACCAGTTCACACATCCGTTATTGCAATGGCCAAAATGAATGAGTTAAGGTTCAAATTGCTTCCTCACGCACCCTATTCGCCAGATTTAGCCTCCTCGGATTATTTTCTCTTTCCAAACTTAAAAAAATGGCTTGGTGATAAAAGATTTGCCAATAATGAAGAGGTGGAGTCTGAGGTTGATGGCTATTTTGAGAAGCTGGACGGTTCTCACTATAAACAGGGGATCGAAGCTATTGTACATTGCTGGAAAAAGTGTATCGAGCTAAAAGGAGACTATGTTGAAAAATAAAGATATGTTTTACCAAATTTTTTGTGTCTTTGTTAGGTCGGGTACTTCTGGGACTACCCTCGTAACTAAACAAACAAACACGTGCAGTCAGACCCATCTGATAGCCATATTCCAGTACGAACTAGACACTGATATGAGCTTTACATAATATTCAAAATTATTTAGATTAATATAGTTTTTGGTATAACTTTCACATATATTTGGGTGTCAGGGCACCTTGTCCCGCAGGTGCGCCATTTTGTCCGAATATATATAGAGTACCCAGCTAAACTCATAATGGGCATGCTAAAAAAGCAAATTTAATGTGCCTTTTTAGTGCAGAAAAAGTTTAAAAAATAGACCTGTATACATCGGGTTCCGGCCATTCCATTATAAGCTTGGAAAAAAGGTTCTCAAATATCCAGAGGACAAAGTTGTATAAAATAATCAGTCATCATAATGACTTGAAATGTCTCAAAATTAATTGTACTGCTTTCGTACAGTAATAAAATAGAGAATATTAAAGTTCTAAAATTAAAAAAACATTATCGAATTATGGAAGTTTAATTAACGGACAGTACTACGGTAATTCGATAGGTTTTAAAAAAATCCGATTCTGACACGTTATAATTAGGATAATCATTTTTAAATTTACAAAAGAACAGTATATAAATGTGTAATAGGTAAATATACGTATATATAATCCTATAATCAAGATTTTTCGCATCTTTCTCAAGTTAAGATTTTCGGAATTTAAGTGTAAATTGTCCTCTTAAACCTCATCCACGCTTCTCCATCACTATTATGGAGAGAGAAACTTGCTTCACTACTAAAATGCAATATCCTACCAGAAACTATCTGGAATAAATGGCTAATTATTACTAATCAAATCTGTTACTCAATGTGGTGTTCAAAATCATTGTCCTCCAGCAATTTTTTTATGAGGTCTAGATGACTGATAAAGGTGGCAATCTACAGCACTGGGCACCCAGGGAATAAATCCGGATGGATCGAATTTATATACTGAGAAATATTTCTATAAATTTTTCTGGTGTCTGTTTCCATTATTTCGGAACATGTTCCTCCACTCGATCGTTCCATTGTGGATCTTGCCAAATCCACAATGGACTTATAATTAAAAGGCCTTTGTGCTCACAGGGCGGAGTAAAAAACGAACACAAGTGTTTCTTATAGTTTGATTTCTTGGAATATGAAAAAATTACAATTAAGGTAATATTATTCTCTTGAGATGCTCTTTTAAGGCAGACCCCAAAAATGCCTGGCTCAAAATACTGCCAAAGTGAGGATAGTGCTCAAAGCTCAAACGTGGTAGGATATTCATTGTATTCCACTACGGAGTACGTTTGAAATCATGGTTAAGAATCCAGACTTAATTAATTGAAAAAGATAATCATAAATTTCATATACTGTATTTAATAGTCCTTTAGTAGAAGCATTTCATCGTCAAATACATCTTAGGCGATTGATATAAGTACATGAAAGGCTGTTTAAATCTTTTTAAATAGTATTTTGAGAAATCCAAGTGAGGAGATATCATACTTTATTCATAACCATAATACGAAGAGATTAGAAAAAAAATCATTAACAAAAACATTAAATCTTTTATTTACCTTCCGACTATTAACTCCTTACACATTCAAGTCATGAGATCTACTAATATTAGAATTTTGATAATGACTAATATCGACATTTTGTCTATGTTTATTATTAATTCTAACATAAATTTCTGATCAAGTAAAAATTCATATTCCTTTAATATAGTTTATCCTCTCAGTCCAGTTTATAGTTTCGAAAAACTAGTGAAATAACATTACATTTTTGATTTTATTATTAGCATACATATACATTTTATAAAATTTAAATGAAACTGAATCTTTTTAAAAATTTACATATGGTTTTCTTTATTAATAAGGAAAAAACATGCTTATCTATGTTCTAATTTTTGTTGTAACTTACATACTAGTGTACTAAATGAGATCTATTATTTTATCTACAATTTTGTATGTATAAAATACTAAAAGAAACAATTTAGAATAATAGATTTCTGAGTAATATTGCAATTTTATAACACAATATGTAAACTATTTTTCCCCCTTTTAATTATTAATTAATTAAAATACATTAGTTTATCTATGCAACAATTTCTATACTACTTTAAGTAATGAGCTTATCACTATATAATTTATTTTAAGTAAAAAATTCAAATTAAAGACAATAACTTTACATTTGAATTAAAATGTTAAAACTTAAAATTTTATTATCAAAATAGAAAATTCAAAATAACTATTACTCTCTTTTGTTGACTAATTATTGAAAATTCAAAATATGTCAGTGATATTAACAGTAACCAATACATAGTTCATAACAACTGCATACAATGAATGTCACCGAATATTTTATTCAAATCATTTTTCAAGCAACTACAAGAGGTGAACTGGCAGTCCTTGAAAATACACGTAAACTTGATGTTTAACATAGAGAATAAAATAACTCAGAATAACAAAGTACTCATTCCACCCATTTCACTTTGCTCTTTTACAAATATTTCAAAGTACTGATAAATAATCGTTACAGCCAATAAAATACCAGTACCACTTCCAATTGCACCTGTAAATAATTTAAAATTTTAATAAATGTATCTCCAGTACATTATTACACAATTAAATATGGATGCAACATATACTGTATACAAAATTACATCTTATCAATCATATAATTGATAAGATGTAATTTTGAGATAATCAAATCTGTAAGCTAAATTTTCTGTAAAATTAAAAACAAAAATTTCACTGAATGAAAATTAATATAATTACTAATGATTTAAAAAATGTATGTAATCTCTAAAACTTTATTTTGAAGAAAACTCAATTTTTTAAAGTAATAAACCTTACAATTATTACTTTAAAAAATTGAGTTACTTAAGTGGGTTAGTTTATGATTTTAATTAAAATTGATTTTCCTTTTTTAAATTGTAAGGTTATTAAACAATGTCAAAACAAAGTTCCACTATTACAAATTTAAAATCTCTCTCAACATATCAAATCATGTTAGTACATTTCAAATGTAATAACATTATTGCAAAAAAATTTTATGCTGAAATTGAATTCATTTGTCTTGTTTATTTGCAAAACTTTTGCAAATAAATAATATAAATGTATGCAAAATTATCAACAGGGTCCATACAGGTAATTCCATCTGTGATTCCCTGACCAATTATGATAATATTCCTTGATCCATTAAAGTTTTTGAATTTCTCTTTCCACTATGCAATATTTGGCCAAGTCTATTTAAGCCCATTTTGTACACAATTATATAAAAACTTTATTAAAAATACTTTATTCACTTACAAAGAACAAAAAATTTGTATAAAATTGATTATATAATTAGCTATGTCAATTCTTTGTCATATATTTCATGATTTTATTTAAATTAATTTGTAAATTTTATTTAAATAAGAAAAAAAAACTTGTGTTGCATTGTAAAATCAAATTTTCTTAAAATGAGGAGGCAGGAAATTCAAAATAATCGAAAGAATAAATTGCGCACTCTGTGAGGGAGAAATCACTTATCACATGCTGTTTTTGGTCTAGCATGGACCCATTAGATTATTATTATTACATTTCTTCCCATCCTTTCCCAAAACTTATAATGGGAGCAGTGAAGTTTTGGCAGGAAAGCAAATTATTGTCAATGGTGTTTTTGAAAACCCGACTTCAACTCTATGGCAATATTTTGATATACTTTCAAAATTCTGCAGGTCATATGAAGACGAAAATTTGCAACTAGATAGAAGAAATATTAACCAAATGTCGTTTAAATAAAAAAGAATTGGGAGGGTTATGTACAGGACTCAACTGCAATTGCTTAAGGCATGAATTTGTCTTTACATCTTATCCTTCCTGTAATAACACAAATGAATAGTCTTGGTGGTTATCACAAGTCAATATCTATCAGTTCAGGCAGCAGTGCACTCAAGTACTCATATCAGAGTTTACATGCTGGTTTTCTTATGCACACTATACAATCTGCATTGTTCAGTATTAGTCACTTTGGGCTTTTCTGATTCCTTTTAAAATTTTCTTTCCAACAATATATGTTTCTTACATTTCTGTTCATATTTCTTTTGCAATTTCTTCCACATTATGAAAATTTTCTTCAACTCAAACACTTATCGGCTTATAACTTTACAAATTCTATTTTGTTTGTTATTATTGCTAAATAATATTGTAGATCATGTCATTCTGTATAAATCAACACCAACTTCAATGTCCCATCTCTTTGCAATCCAAACTTATACACTGCCCAAATGTCTGAAGCATTGCCATTTTCAGTGTTCATATATAACTGCAAACCTACCTCAAAGCCACACACCCCACTACATACCAATTTAAATACAAACATAAACTCTCTATCTAACAAAATTTTAATCATTAGATTATCATTTATAGTTTACGAGATATAAGCACAACAAATCTTGCCATTATTTTGGCCACTCCAGTTTTATAGATCACACTATACTGAACCAAATTTAAAGACATTCAGATCAAAAAGGAACAAAAGCAACAGAAGGATTCTGCAGTACTTCCAGATTCCTACACTTTTCCTGCTAAAAATTTTATTCCCTGATTTTTCATGTTTGTATGAACCCTGTGTCAAATAAAATTTAATTGATGTATTTTTTTAAATTTGTGTACAGAATTAAATTTATTTCACTCTCTTTGACTTAAAATTGCAATAAATACTTAAAATTAGATAAATTATGTANCATAAAATTTAATTAAGAAAAAATACTTATTTCTTCAGAGATGAGAATCATATCATTCACATGTCATTGTCAATATTAAGTATAATTGTAGACATACTTACATTAAAAATTTCACTACACACAAATGAATTAAAATTTATTAAATTAGTTCATTTGGGTAATGAACTTTTATTTTAAACCCAATTTATCTTGGTTGTCAATATATTTGTTAATAAAACATTTTTATAAGAAGTCATTTTATTATATATAAAGATAAATTTAAGATATTTCGTTGAAACACTGTTAAAATAAATCATTTTAATTGTGCATACATTATATATATACATATATATAATCAAACAATCAAATAAGATAAAACTTTTATAAATAAATGGTTTAAAATAAATATTAGTATACCTAAGAAGTCTGCAAGTACTGAGAGAGCTCCAATACAAAGACCTCCAAATGCAGCAGCAGTTGGAATGTATCTATTGAGTTCATGAATCATTGACTTTTCACGATGACCTCTCATTACCATTTGCTGTTCTTTCAATTGCTTTGCAACCTTTTAAAAAAATTCATATTTTAAAAATTTAACATTTAATTTAATTGTAAAACAGTTCTTTAAATTTAATATTTATTATTACATCTTTTGCACTCGATCCTGAAACTTCTATCCAAGTCTTTGAGAAAAATGCACAAGATCCTAACATGAAAATAATATATAAAACTGCATGTATGGGATCTTCTAATATGTGAGCCAGATTTTCTGGTGGTGAAAGATAATAACAAAGACCACCTATAGGATATGCTCGAGCAGGACCTGCCCCACCAACATCCTAAAATCACAATCAATAATCAAATTAGAAAATAACTTTAATTATATTTCATATAAGCTTACTATTACTTACAGCCCAAACACCTAACAAATTAACAAAGAAATTTCCACTGAATTTGACAGCCAACATCTGAAATAAAAAAAGATAAAAAATTACTTTACATATTTTATATTTATTAATAATACTTATTTTTAATTATGAAATATCTACCTGAGAAATTACATAAAGGTTAGAAACAAGTGCAGACTGAAGAATGATTGGAATGTTAGAAGTATAAAACAATTTAATGGGATAAGAACTGTATTGACCACGATATCTTGCAGATTTGATTGGCAGGTCTACACGGAATCCCTATAAATATTTTGATATTAGATATTATAAGAGTTACATAAAAATAATTTTTACAATAACTGAATTACCTGGAAGTAAATCACAATGGCAAAAACCATAACTGTAGCTAATAAATTCATAATATTTGGTAAATTTTGACGGTACACTGCTTCCCTTAAAGCTCTAACTTTATCTTGTCTTGTAGCCAATAAATGAAACAAAGCAATAATAGCACCTTCAAATTCTGTTCCTATATTTTAAATATAATTTATAATTAAAATTGGTTAATGATAAATATGTCTACTCATTAATTCTATAACCATTACTTTATAAATATCTACATTATACAGAGTTTATTTTTAAAATAAATTAGTCTGAATTTTTGTAAATAATATGCTGAATATTGAAATATAAATAAATAACATTAAATTATGATGTAAACAAATGTAAAAGCAATAAAAATAATATCCAAGTATTGTATAAAGAAAAAAACATGGTTAAACAAAAAAGTAACCAATTTTTAAAAAATATTTTATAATGGTCACATTATATATTATTAATATGATAATAACATTCATTTAAATAAAGGTATGATGATAGATGCATGCTGGGATAAAATTGTCATACTACAGGAATCTTCATGTGACCAGGACGTTACAGATTTATGATTAATACAGCAATGTCAATATTGTTCCAATTGAAGATGCTGAGCTTCATAACTCAGGCAAAAAGCATATGGTATGTTGAATTTTTCTAAATAAATATTTCACTCTTTACTTCTGTATCTATTGACTCATGTACAAAAGTCAGTAAAGAAAGAGAATAATTCATGAAGAGAAAATAAAAGGTTTATTTTTAATCTTTTTAACAAAAAAAAATTTTTTTGTTAACAAAATTTGTTAAAAATTTTTTTTTGTTAAAAAGATTAAAAATAAACCTTTTATTAATATATCTATGCTTGCTCTCTCTCTCGATACTCAGCAAGAATTTGAAGTTATTAAGTAACTTAAAAAAAATTTTTTTTAAGTTACTTAATANCTTGATTTTTGAGTCCCCAGAGCAGCAGGCTAAACCTTAATTGCTTTATCCATCTTGCATCTAGACATGGATCAATAAAAGTAAAAATTAATATATCTATGCTTGCTCTCTCTCTCGATACTCAGCAAGAATTTGAAGTTATTAAGTAACTTAAAAAAAATTTTTTTTAAGTTACTTAATAACTTCAAATTCTTGCTGAGTATCGAGAGAGAGAGCAAGCATAGATATATTAATTTTTACTTTTATTGATCCATGTCTAGATGCAAGATGGATAAAGCAATTAAGGTTTAGCCTGCTGCTCTGGGGACTCAAAAATCAAGTCTGGGCAAGCAACCCAGGAATTTTTTATGAATGTTCTATTCCAAATATGTCTCATCATCTGATCATAGCACTGTGGACCTGGCTGAACTGATGATGGGTAAGAGAAGAAAAAAGCCTTCTCAGTGCCCATAGATTAGAAAGAGAGAGAGGAAAACAATTCATGTCTATACTGACAAACTAAAATTACAATTATTTTTATGTTGAAATCATTACATCCTGAAAATTACACTGGTGTTCTAAGATAATGTACATCTATTGAAAAATTCATACTTTTTGCTAAATCTAGTGTTAATAAATACAAGTAACGGTTATGAAATGTTGAATCAGCATTGCATCATCCTTATTGTAAAGTATTATATCACCACTGATATAAATCATACACAGTAAGCTGTTCATTTTGATGTAATCTATTGCTGTGTGCTATTTGAACTTGTATAATGTTGAGAATAAACTATATAGTATGTCCAAGATATATGAACTGACACTTTGAGGCATTTCTTTTTCTAGTTTTACACAAGGAAGGAATACAATTCAAATTGCACAGAGACTAAACTGTTCTTGTTTCACTATTAGCTGCAACATTGTAAAGCTTAAGATGTTTGGAAACACTGATAATATACAAGTGGCTTTGCACACTTTTCCAAGGAATGACAAAATTCTTCATTGTTTGAGCTGAAAAAATAATTTGATACAATTCAGGAATTGTCTATGGATTTAAAAGCATTAATTGGTCACAAGTCCTTGTGTTGTTCATAAGAAGCTCTGTAAAGCAAGAATTTTGGCATAGACCAACAAAAAACTATTACTAATAAAGATAATGAAAGAAAGATTAGCATGGACCAAAAACATTGTCACTATTGATTGTCCAATTTGATGTCATTTTCAGACAAGAGCCATTTATTATTATCCAATGACAAGCCCAACTGGTATGCTGCAAAGTGAGCAAAAAGATATTACTAAGAATAATTCATGTGATCTAAAAGGTAGGCTCTTTCATTATTGAAGGAACATACTTTTGATGATTGCACTCCAAATCATTATTGGTTTGCACTCACTTACAGTGGCATTAAAAGGTTTTTATTTCATGAATGACAGTGACTATTAATCAGTATAATACTGTTATTAGACATCATGTCATCAACATACCCAGAAATGCAGTTAGATTAGAACCACACATTTTTCCAACAAGATTTGGCATCTTGCCACACATCTAGACAGCTAAGTGTACATTTCTGGTTTAATGTCATTTAATACAGTTGAAATATTAAGTAACTAGCTTACCCGTCACGCATTGCTGCAATCTCAGAAGAAACGAAATTCAAGCAAACTCGTTATGATAAAATTCAATTTACATTTTATCATTTTTATTGAAACTTATTATTCATTTTCATCAGGAAAACATTTCAAAGTGTTATTTCAATTCTATTTATTTATTGGAGTGCTTGTGGATACACGATATTTTTTGTTTTTCTGTCTGGTGCGTACACGAATAAATCAGAAGGTTTTCGGACGCATGAGCTGGCCACATACAGTTGTCCATGCGAGAAGCATGGATTCTCCAAATTTAGACCACACACTGACAGCGATTGTCAGAATTGCGATATTACCCATTTTTATATATATTTTTAAATCCTTTATAATTTTAATTATTTAATTGCTCCTTCCTCTCTTCCTTGGCATGTTGTGAAATTTCTGATAGTTGGATAATAAACTGTTTTATAGTAATTTGTCTTTTTAAATTATTTTGAGTTGATATTAAAATTTGGAAAAGGAGGATCCCTAGATCGGTAAATTAGGCGAATTTCCTCCTACAATTTCGGTTGTTGTTCGGGATACAATTAAGGCTTTAACGAAGTTCGAGCGAATACGTAATTAACAAAAAATAGTTGAAATAAAGTGATTCAACAAAAATTATTACAAATATCGTAAATAACAAATGCATATATAGAGCTATTTTTTGGAGGGAGGAAATGGTCTTCACAATTTTAAATCCATCAATCTCACGATGAAATGCTCGTATAAACTATCATAGGATCGCGCCATCTATCGTAGGATAAATGTACTATGCCAGAAATGGAGTGTATTAAAAAACTTCCCAAAGCTTCATGGCAATCGTACTATGCCAGAAACCTTTGCGGGAGTATATTAAACAACTTCCCAAAATTTCACGGCAATCGGATAAACGGTGTGGTAATGCATGAAGAACAGACACACACACACACACACTCATTCATTTTTATATATATAGATTACTCAATATTTCACTCTTCCAGTCACTAAGACTGGAAGAGTGAAATTGGATTGGGCCAGAATTTACCAGATCTCAATCTAATTGAAAATGTGTGTGGTGTCTCATGGTTCCTGAAATTAAAAAGGCATGGCCTTCAACAGAACAGGATCTGAAAGAAGTGAATGTTTATGCATGTCACTACAATATTAGTTGTGACATTATTTGCAACCTGACTGAAGCATGCCAAAAAGAATTCAAACTGTTATTAAAACCAATGAGTTTTAATAACAGTTTGAGTTCTTTACAAAATATTAATAAATACAATATATACATTAATATATTCATATCCTATTTACATAAATAATTAGTCTAAATATTTTTTTGCTTATTAACTTTTGCTTATATATCCTGAAAATCAGATTTATAAGTTTACAAGTATTGTATGTCATAAGAATAAGTTGAAGTAATAAACCTTGGCAGCTTTATTGGTCTGCAATTTGAAAAAAATTGTAGATCTTAAATTTAAAAATCTTCTTACGTGAATACTGGAAAGCATATAAATTAACATTCCTAAACCTTAACACCCCATTTGGTGTATTTATATGTATTTATATAAGTATATGTATTACATATACTTATATAAATACATATAGAATGGTATATTACATATACCATTCTATTGCCATGGCAATGCACATGAATAACTATTTATTCTTTTAAAATCCGTTTGTGCTGTTCCATTTTTTGAAAATAATTTCATAATTTTTGTTCTATGCATTTACTTGTTCGAATCTCACTGGTTTTTTAAACCTGAAGAAGACCGAAAGTACGGTTGAAAATGTTTGTTTGCTATTAAATCGTAGATCTATAAATTCCCACTGTTGTCTGTCTCTTTCCTTAACCACAAAAACAAAGTTAGATAAATGATATTCAAGATCAAATATGGAAAGCTTATATATGAATTTCTGATGCAAACCAGAAGTCACATTATTTCAATTCACAAATTTTCCCCTGAAAAAAGTTCATCAATGATCATGACTAGCATGACTCAATTGCTAAAAGTATGATGTACAGGGCCAAAATACTAAAGTATTAACTTTAAATTAAATAAATGAGAAATATGATTAACTTACAGCCAGGCATTGTGACAATGTCACAACTTGTTTTTCTTCTATATTTATCACTACCTATTGCTAATGCATTATTAATATTTTGCTAATTCATATAAACTGAGCATGAGTGAAATACTTTAGAATAATATTCATCATTCAAATTTTAACTGTCACTCCAGTTTAATATTAACAAATACAAAAGATGTATTTTACTATTACTTCATCATATCTATTGTAATTTCTTTTTCTTTGAATAAAGCTAATAAAAATAGTAGTAATTCCAGAATAAAAATGAATAAGTATATATCCAATAGATGGGCAAAGACTTTTATAAACTGCATAGATCTAACCATAATTAATCACATACTCTGAATGAATTATGGTTTGTAGATAACGAAAACAAACAAAAATGAACATTTTCTTCTAAGTTCTTCATCAGGTTTTTTAATGATTTCTCATTTTGGAATAAAATTTAAACATAATGTTGAAAGTTTGAAGGATGGACATTTAAAGTTAATATATGCAGATGATTCACTTGGAACTGAACACCTTATTATATGGACTATCTCTGTCGGGATAAATCGTCTGGACATATGATTTCAGGAGCTTTTCCTGTTTTCAAACAAGCAACAGACATCATCACGGAGACGCGGATCCGGCGATGTCAGCAGTTTTGAAACTTGACTGCGGATTGGCTAGAAAACATCGTACGACCAACAGACATCCGATAGCGCTACTAAGCGCTGATTGGTGGTTTTACATTCCTTTCAATCCGTATAAAACGAGTGAATTTAGGTGGGAGTTTCAGCTCGCCTAAGACATATCCAGGGAACTCAGGTTGATCAGATGTCATCGAAGTACGTCGGAGTGCATCTTAACTCCATCAATTAAATCAGCGAATCTGCTGAAGAAGTTGCTTTGTCTTGCCAACTTGTTAATGACTGTCCCAAGGAATTCGTCGAACGGAGTCCTTTTCGATGGACCTGTTATTGTGGTTTAATTGACATTTGAACTTTGCTATATCTGAATTATTGTAATTGTTTTATTTTTGTGAAATTCATAACTGTATGTAAGTTTTAATTGTTAATATAAACGTTTGTGAATTGTGAACTAAGTGGTTTTTGAACTTGACTATCTTCATATAAAATTAAAATAGGAACAAGAGACATGAATGGAATGATTATTTCATGATTAAGCAGTAGATCCAAGGTATATTTTACATCATATGTTATTCAAATGTGAATGTGCAATCATGAGGTAATGAACAAACTATTCAGTCCCAAGTGAATCACATAGTATATGATTTCTCTAAGAATTGCACAGATAACAGAATAATAATGATTGTTGCCAGTTATATTTCAGGTTCATCAGCAGATTCCAATAATAATGTTGTTATAAACATGTACGATACATTAATAAACTATTTTCATAAAGTTCACTTTGACTCAGCTTGTCAACATGTTATTAGGATGAAAATTGTTCCCATCAAAAATCTTTGAAATAAAATGTATTTTCTTTTATCTATTTCCTCATTAAGAGTTTTAATTCAAAATAAATTTGTGGCAAATATGAAATTTATTTAATATAAAGATTATTACTCTTAAAAGTTCAATTTTGTGTAATGTGAGAAAAGCAGAAAACATTATTTGATGTGTTCTTAATAGTTTTTGTAAAGAAAACAAGCCCTTTTAAAAAAATTCAATTATATATTGAAAATTTTTTGGATCATTCAGTAAATATTTGAAATTCCTTATTTATAACAGTTAAGATATATTCAAACAAAATGTTATCATCATCTATTTTAAATAATAAATTAATTACAAATTATCTTACCTCTTCCAGTATTCACAGTTGCAGGACTGAATGCTTTCCAGACAATTGTTTCACAAATGTTAGTGGCAATGAAGAGAGAGATTCCTGAACCTAAACCATAACCTTTTTGCAAAAGTTCATCTAGTAACAGTACAATTAAACCAGCAACGAAAAGCTAAAATTTGAAAGATTAAAACTTTCAGATTCAAATCATAATTCATCCATAAATTATAAAATTCTGTTTATCTGAATAAATATATAGATCATGAGTCAACTTTTTAAAATAACTTAATAATTTAATTCATTCCTTGACAGAACTCTTAACTCAAATTACTCTTATGTCAAATCAATTTTTCCCATTGAAATGCCATTAATCTGTTCATGACCCCCAAAACACTGCAATTTTTTTGTTACATGTTTCTAAATAGGAAAAATATACTTATAAATAACAAATAGTGTATAAAATCATAATAAAATGTACTACAATAAACTGGTTTTGCAGATGTTGCAGCATTTGCTGCATAGATAAAGAAAAAAAAGATGGAAAATTCAAGAAATGAGAGATGATGGTGGCACACACAATAGGAAAGTGAACTAATGCCTACATCACTTGATGACAAGTTTTTCTGTAAGCTAGCCTGTCAGACATTGAAAAAGTAATAAAAATGATGAAATTATGGCAGTTTTCCATCTTATTTTTCATAGTTGATGCAGTAAATGCCACATTTGCTGCATCAACTAGTGATGGGGGTATCTAAAGCTGGCTTGTAACCCAAATTTTATCTCTCAACTCAAAACAAAAAATTGGCCGATAGACGGCTTGTATCTCAAAAAACTCATAAGTTGGGACACACAATTCAAGGTACCACTGTATTTGCCATTTAAGTGTGGTTCAGTATATCAAAGTGGTTAATTATAAAATCACTCTAGTTTTTATTTTTTCATAATTTGCTAAAACTTCATTTAAAATTTGGACAAAATATCAGTATATTTTTTGAAAACAAGGTTTCATTATTATATTTTAAAAAATTTCAGTGTAATATTTGCAATACTTTATTACAAATACTAATTTTTTTAACATGTTAGTTAACTGTCTTTACCCCATATTCTGATACAAAATAAATACATTTAACATTTTTATTTCACTTAGTCTAATCATTCCAAAACACATTAAAATCATTTCATATTTGTTTCACAAACACTGTTTAAGTAAAAGAATAGTATTTTTTATGATTCATAGTTGATTCAAGAAACAGTTTCTTGAATCAATAGTAGATCATAAAAATTCTGAATCTGATATATGATCAAAAATCTCTGAATACTTTGTCAAAGTCTCCTTTCAATTTAGGCTTAAATAATGCAATTTACTATCAATTATTCTTAACTCTACACCTGCTGATACCGCGGAAACGCCGGATCACGTGACCACCTATAAAAAATGAGCTGCTGATACCGCATTTCCGCGGTTTTAATAAAAAAATTGAACAATTCGCGTTATATTCGAGTTTTCTTGCGATTTTAGTCATGATTCGCTCTTTTGTAGGTCGATTGACTTTGTTTAAGCCAATAAGCGTTTTGTCACCACCCCTGGGCCATAAATATTTCGGGAAAAACACTCCCCTACTATTTACAGTAAATCTTCGAAGTTAACTAGACAGTTGTTGAAAACAATCAAAGGGAAACTCCTTCTAAAGTTTTATTGGGTATCTTCTGTCTTTGTTGACATTACTGTAACTAATCAGAGACTTGTGAAAGGAAAAATTGCCGCGAAAAGTCCCGCCTCCAACCTTCGAAGTAAAATGTAAACAATCACAATAAATTCGCTTTTTAAATCGTTTTTTTAGCTCTAATTAACTAATTTAACGTTTTAAGACATTAAATTAGCTAATTCGACAATATTTAATAGTATTAATATGTTTTTAAAACTATCTAGCAAGAGATATTCCCGGGAAGCTCCACCTCTCTATAGTAAGTCTATGGAAGACGTTCTTCCTGTTAATTGGCTTTAAAATTTTTGTTTCTACGCTTATTACGCTCTAATTGGTCATTTATATTATAACTGATTTAACTTTAACGAATGAGAGCTTTTTTCAGAACATGTAGTCTGGATTTTCCCGCGAAGAATCAATCCACGTGATTAAAGTTATTATGTAAACAAACGTTAAAAAATAGCTATATTCATTATTTTAAAGCGTAATTTTTCTAGTTTTCATGTTATTTGACTCTATTTAGACAAGAAGATATTTTATCAAAATCTTCCAGCTGAAAAATTTTCCGGGAAACTCATTACTTCCGGATATTGCGTAATCGCAGGAAAAAATTAACTAATCATTTATTATAGGTTATTATTATATAAAACGTTGAAAAAATATGTAAAAAGTGTCAAATATTCACTCTTATAAAAGTATGTTGATAATCTTTGACCTACAAATACCCGAGCCACTCCCCACTCCCCTCTCCCCGCAGGGTAATTAGAGACGTAGTGTAAATAATGGCAATAACTTCTCCCCCGCTTTAGCTAGAGAGCTGCGGTTTGTTTTGTTTAAAAGAAGACAGATGTGTCTAACGAACAGATGTACAAAGTTCAGCGAATCTCTGTAAATTAATTTTTTTTTCTATTGTTCGTGAACGTCGAAATTTTAATATTATTTTAAATTTGTATTAAACTAAAAATTAAACAATCGTAAACTGCAATATGTTTTTAATCAAAGACAAAAAACAGATTAAATATAGCGCGATTTTGAAGCGAAATATCTCGATTTAAAAAATTATCCAAAAATTCAAAAAATGCGCCGCACGACGGATTCCATTCAATTTTTTTCTGTAGATAGATCGCATGTAAAGGGTTAAAAACTTTTAGGAAATAAGGTCCATCATCAGGGGAACTAAAAACAAAATTACTTTTTTTAATGTGTTGTTAAAATACACAGTGTCAAAAAAAATAATAACTACTCTACAAATCATTGATAAATTGTGACAATTTTATGTCAACATCCAAAACTGATTCCAAATCAAATCATCATTATATCTGAGGACTTATGTTAAGAAAAAATATATGCAATTGTAATTACTGTATTGCATCTTGATATCAATACACAACTTTAACAATTAACACAAACTGAAAAACTATAGATCTAAATATCAAAAACTTCCAAACACCTTAAATCCAGTTCAGAACAAAATTTATTGATGGAACTAACATTTTCAACCTTGTTAAAAGATCATCATCAGATTCTAAAGATAGAGCAACAAAAAAATAAAATAAAAAGAATTTTTGTTCTAACTTTAGAACATGATGATGACCTTTAAACAAGGTTGAAATTATTATTAGTTTCATCAATAAATTCTGTCTGTTCTAGATTTAAGGTGTTTTGGAGAATTTCTGATACTAATTACAACCAGTATTTATGATGATTATTGTTTTCTTATAAATCTTATGTGAACTGATGTTAAGTTAATTTTATGCTATCTCTGAGGAGTAAATTTAGCTATTTATGAACATAAAACAAATATTTACAAAATTGTTCTATGTCTAATAATAATAATAATTGATGGCAAGTTCTCAAACATTGCAATTTTCAATTAAAAATATATAAATAAATAATCTCCACTTTAACTTAGTGAAATTACTTTTTTATAATCAATACAAAGTTCTCAATATGCAGAAAAAATAAATAAGCTTGTTTTTGAGACTGCTTATATAGAAAATACACACTATAAAACATTATTTAACTAACTTTGATAAGTTTGTTAATTAGTGAAAAAGGTATGTTAGTCATCAAAAATTTAAAATCAGATAAACAGAATTTTTATGTATACACATAGTTTCTACCTGGATTATTATGAGTAAACACACTCCAGCTCCTATATCAGCAGGATCACCATACATTCCAGTCATAACATATACAATAGCTTGTCCAATTGTGATTACCATTCCAAATACTAAAATTATAATAAATAATAAAAAGTTGCATATTAATACTGTATATTCTTAAACTACAGAAATAATTCACATAATATTTAATAAAAAATGAAAAATGTATGTTTAAATAATTAAAATATTTGGATTTTACATTTTTTTACATTGATTATTATGAGATAAAATGTACACAATATCCAATATTTTATTTTCTGATTTTATGATAAATTTATAAATTTATTGCTATTTTAATTTTTCAATCATAACCTATTTCTGTAAACAGAAAAGAATTATAATAAAAAAAATTAAATGTACGAAAATTTTTCAGCTAATTATAAAGGAAAAAGTGAGTTTCCTTTTTTATGTCCCAAAGATAGCAAGAAAGATTAATTGACCTTAACCAACAGAATATAATGTTATTTACAATATTTTGATCATTGAGCAGAACTCAGAGCCAGACAGAACAAGTACTGTTGCCTCCTAAATACACATTACACTACATAATGAGCTCTTGTAATAGTATCTAAACACTCAAAGATCCTTAACTTATACTATCTTTCAGAATTATTTTCTTTACAATAAAAATAAGCATATAAAAATAAGTTATTAAAACTGGTATTTTTATATAATAATACAAATACAAATACTTTATTGTAATAAGAAATTTCTTGTTACAGGGGGTTAGCTTTAGAGAATTACAAAAAATACAATTACTTATTGAAACATATTTTTTTTAAATATCTTGTTACATAAAATTTGCTAAACATAACATATTAGTCATTCAATTTACATATCATATTTCAAATTCTTTAAAATATGAACAAAAAAGTAATGAATATTATACATCTTATACTATGGAATTTTTTCTTGATTGGTTCTGAAGTTTTCTTCTTAATTTAAATCAAAAAACTCTTTTAATTTGAATTTACATTACGCTTCTTCAATCTTTGGACACTCAGTAAGAATATAATAAATGATTTATAAAAATGATTGTAAAGAACAAGTAGAACTTACATACCCGCTGGCAGAAGAAGTTTAATAAATTAGTGGTAATTATATCCATTCCAGGAGCTGTTTTCGTTTTTAATTTACGAATTGATATATCCAGTTCTTCGATAGATATTGGAATATCTAAACTTTCATTGAAAGAAATTTTTTATATCGGCATAAGGAAGACTGTAATTCCTGTAAATCTGTTAATAGAGTTATCCATTTAAAAGAATCTATTTGCATTGATTGATCACAATTGAAACATCGTAATTTCTTAATCGTAAACTTTAAAAGTTCACTGTTTTTATTTTCTAAGATTATTTGTTGAATTTTTTTATAGTAATTTGATTTCTTAGATTTTAATAGATTGAAATACAAATTTTTGGCTTAACGATATTGACTGAATACCGTTGATGTAGATAATTTTTAAACTGAAGTAATGCTTTAATAATTTTCATTCTTAAATTCTTATATCCGGTATAAACTTTCATTATTATTATGTGCTGCAGGCAAGGGACTTAATAATTGAGACTCAACAATACGTAAATCTTGAATAGGAGTGTTTAAATTGATCATATGTCATTGCGGAGTATTCTCAGAAGTAAAATACGGGGTAAAAGAATCCAAGTATACCAGCCCCTCCAACACATAGCTATACGTCAAAGAATAATTGCCCAACAGTATAGTATCACCTCGGAGTTTTGGATATTTACCTGCTTTCCTTAACTCGCTTAAAAAAGGAATTAATTGTTTACGTCTTAATCTAGATCTTTTTATAAGATCCTGTGAAATTTGAGTTTCTTTCCATACGTTCGATAGGTTTTGCTGTTTCATTTTTATAAAACTCGAATATATATAATCTCTTATTTGGGTATTTTTAATAATTAATTTAATTGTTGGATACTGTGATTTAGTTATTGGAATAATCGCTATTAAATCATCCATTGTAACTTCATGTAATTCTAATGATTCATTAATAAGATTAAACACTTCTAGCTTGGTAGGATTAGTTTTACTGGGATATCTATATAACATTATATTATTTCGATGTTGCGCATTAACCATATTGTCCATTCGATATTGCATACTTTCATTTTCTATTTTCAAATTAGCAATTTGTTGTTCAAGATTAATTATTTGGCTATTCATTTTTTGATTCTGGACTTTAGTTTCTTGGATACTATTACGAATCTGGTCCAAATCTTCTTTGATAATAGTCATTTGACTTAATATTCTCGTATTAGAAACATTAATTAATTCAGAAATTTTATTCCATAGTGTTATACTTGATATATCAGATGAATTTTTTCCTGGCGAAGAAGATAAAAAATCATATGGCTCACCTGATAGTTGAGAACTTGGAAGTGTAGTTTCAGGGTTCAAACCTACGTTTGCAGAAGATAGTTCAGGAGAAGTTCTTTCGACGTGTAAATTGTAATCAGTAATTAACCTGGTATTAGTGGTCGAAGCAGTTTCCTTTCTACTAGTTGATTTTGACTTTTGAAGTGGTGGTCTTCCTCTTTTAATTGGCGAGCGTTGCATATTAATTATGTTGATAATTTTTCCAACAACTTATAATGTTAACACACAGCCCAAACAAATAAAATTTTAACGTAAAATTATTAAACAGGATACATTCTTTACCTGTATTTGAAGTGAGTAAAAAAACGCGCCAGCAGCTTCGGCAGACAGAAGTGCCCCCGCCATTTTTATATATTTATTAATATATTATTTCATATTTTATAAAAAGCTTTTCTTCATCTTCTTCACATAATGCTTGATTTTTTTTATTTTATATAAAACTGATGTAATCATAAAATAGTACATGCTAAAATTTTCATAATAATTAAATAAACTGAAGAAAATTGAATTGTCATTCAGTTTAGTACAGACTATTTTAATTATTTAAAAATTTTAATCTAATAATAATATTAATATATTCATAATATTAACATAAATATTTAATTATGTATAAAATAATTTAATAATTATATTAAATTATTGCTGAAAAACATTTATAAACATAGAAAGTTAAACTGTCATACATTTTTGAGCTCCATTAAAAAGTGCTCTATCCTTAGGAGTGTCTCCAACTTCAATGATTTTAGCTCCAGCAAGAAGTTGCATGATGAGCCCAGATGTAACAATGGGAGAAATGCCTAGTTCCATCAATGTTCCACGATTTGAAGCTAAAATAACTCTCATCCAATAAAATGGATCAGCTGAATCAGATGACATAATACCAAATAAAGGTATCTGAAATTAAAATTTTGTAACATGAAAGCAAATACAACACACACATATTTTTTTATTTATTTGAAAATTTAATGTAGTGTTTTCCTTAAATAAGTTGTTCTGTATAGCCATAGATAATTTAAAAAATATAAATAATCTAATTTAGAATCAAGTAATAAAAGGTACATAAAATCAAATATTTTAAGAAAATCTTGAAGTAAAAAATACAGATAATAAACTGGTTAGCTTTTATAACATATTGTTAAATTGTTTGGTTGTATATACAGTAGAGCGTTGTTTAGAGAGTTTATCCAAATCAATTGGGGACTGAGATTGTTCAGATAACTTATTTTTCGGATAACTGATTATGTACGAAAAAATATATTAACCTATCCCGTGTTGAAAATTTTCTCTGTTGCGTGTCGCTTTGCGTTGAACTTTCCTTGATGTTCAGCCTAATGTAAACTTTTTAAAATAATAATCGTGGCTATTGTATCATTAAAAATTGTTTCTTTATTTTTTACAAACAAAATAAATATATTGAAAAATATAAAAACAAAAACAATTATACTTTAGAAGTTGATCTAGTATCAAAAATGTTTGATTCAGCTCGACACACAGTCCTCAGAAAAACACCACACAAAAGTGCCAGTGATGCCAGCTAAAACACACGTATCAACAAAAAAAAATTGGAGTAGCCCAAGATATAGCCAAAGATTGCAGCGCCACAACACTAATGAAAATTTAAATTTGCCAACAGGAATTCTTTCGAATAACCGACTTTCAGATAAACGATGCTCTACTGTAGTAATATAAGGTGTCATTCCAAATTTAAGCAGGAAAAAATAATCTGGCTGTTTAGTTATATGATGCAATATAAAGTAAGAAGTTATATCATATAACTTCTAACTTTAATTTTATCTATTATAGATAGAATAATTACTATGTTTTTTATAATTTAGGTTTAATAATTTTTTAATAGATATTTCTGTATTTTTAAATGTTTTTGCTTCACTGAAAAATAAATATAAGTGTATACACTCATCTAAATTGAGAAATATATAAAGCAACTCAGTTTATATGTATTAATACAAGAAATATAATTGAGAAAAAAATTAATTTTATCAGCAACTTAAATGTTTTATAATGTTTTACTTAAGATTTGAAAATGTTTGATTTTAGTTAAATTAAGCACATGGAATATAAATTCCCTTTCTTTAGTTCTTTGTGTGATAAATTTTGTTGAACTTATTTATGTTAAGTTTAAATTTTATGACAAATACATAAAAATATATATTTTAAATCTACTCACATAGTTAAATACATAAATTTTTTTCATATTTTCAGTTGTACTTTCCCATAAATATTTATTATTATTCAGTTCTTAGATTTTGAAAATCTAATGTATAATAGTCATTATGTAAGAAGGCAAATTGTCTGAAATTATGGACTGTATTACAATCTCAAAGATTAAAAATATTGGCAATTTCTGCAAAATGTAATTTTGCAGAAATTTCAGGGTTTTATTTTTTTATTAAGCCAATTATTTTGAACAAGATCATTAGTAAATAGTGTATATCAGGAGAGTTGGGAGGTTATGGATATGGGGATATGGACCTCCTTAACCAATCCACAATCCCGGAAAAGTGGCATGTAATCACTTTGTTAGTGTCTCCATCATGTTGGTAGAAAATGGCATTGTCAAGAACTACATCTGTGAGCAGTGGTCCAACATGCTCTACTAAGAGTCCCAAATACTTTGGGAGTTTGCCACCAACAAAAATGCCCAAGAACTTGGTCAAGTAATCCAGCCAAATGTTAACACTGCTGACATTGAGTTTAGTAGTTTACCTTCAAAAAGGAAAAAAAAAAAAAATACTTCAGCCATGAAACATTCTCCTGGGAATGGTAGTGTCCAAGATCCACAAACATTTCTACAAAGTTTATCCTAAAATTGTAGTTTATAGGAAAAGATCTTGATAACATTGAGACTTGTATGGATAATAATAGAACCTCTTGAGAATCATATGCATATAGGTTGACTCAATTCCTGCCTCCGGAGCCATATGGAAGTAGTTGGGTTTACTGTGAATCTGGCTATGATGTTGTAGCTGCATTGTCTGTTGTACAACTCACAAGATTCCCAGGTTTTGGTGCATCATCCAAGTCATTTGTGTGTCAAAATTTAGCTACCATTCTTAAGATTGTAGTATGTGGGAGATAGGACTGATTGGAATGTAATGCATGGAATTATGCCATAATATCTCTTGTGCTGCATTCTTGAAGGTAAAGTTATCATATCTTGCTTGTCTCTACCTTTGTATATCTCATTCTATCACAAACTAGGTAAATTTTGTCAACCTAGGAGCCCATGATGACATTAAGAATGTCATCCAGCAAAGCATTGATGAAGTCAATTCTTTGCTGGATGGCATTCTTGCTTCTATGGTGTGTTATTTTCTGAATACCCAGTATATAAAACATACTTTCAAAACATTAAAATAAGAATAAAGCAAATTACAGCATGTGTTAAGTTTTAAAAATTCTGAGTAAAATAGGAGAAAAAACCATTCAAAAGAGAATTTATGTTGAAAACAAAGTGAAAACACTTACTTGACAACAAACTAAAAATATGAATAATGTTATAGCTGTCCATAGTACTTTCTCTCTGAATTGAATCTAAAATAGATAATATATTATTATTATGTGATATTTATATTTAATAGTCAAAAATATTTAATAGTTAAAAATAAATAAATAAATATCTCACTTTTCTTTCAGGTTTTGCAACTTCGGGCAATATTCCACAAAATGGTTTTATCACTTCCAGGAATTTTACTATTAATAAAATAATATATAGTTTTTATTTAATAATATTAATTTTAAAATTATCATCATCATCTAAAATGTGAATGACGTTTATAGTTTATTGAAAAATAAATCATTTTGTTTTATGTTTTGACTTCAATTATTTACTGATGTAGAATTCCCATTTGACACTATACATTATTTTTTGCAATTTTTCAAAATTATCAGAATGTTATAACAGTATATCTTTGGTGGAGTTTGAAAATGCAAAAAATTTCTTTAATAAATAGTGAAGTGGTTGACAAAATATAAGTAACAATGCAGAGTAGGATGTGTACATTTTTAGTTTACAATAAGCCTTATCTTCCTCTAATAGACAATGTACTTGCTATTTGAAGACACTCACTATACTATTTACTAGAATAAATACAATATATATGCCAGACATAAATATGAATAATTTATGCCAAGTATGAATAATATACTTAGATTTATGTTATAGTATATAAACTGGCATATCTTACTAATATAGTAGGTTAGGTTCCAGGCAACCTCTCTAAAGTAAATATCACTTTAAAGCTAAACAACTTTCTTTTCATTGGTTGCTGCATATAAAAGCCTAAAAAGATATGTATACTGTCATTTATTGTGTGTGTAATAGTTTTAGGCATAAAAAACAATGCAAAAGTAGTAATAATAAATGAAAACGCAAGAAAACTCCTCAAATAACAAGATAAATACCAAAAATAAACATGAATATAATTAAAAAGTGCTGTTTTAGCAAATCACTGAAGTGGAAAACTTTAAAGCAAGGTATGCCTAGATTGGCTAATTTATAAATGTTACCTATTTTAAAATTTTGTTAAAACTAAAATCACCAAGTCACAATAAAAAATTTAGATTTTATTAAAGCTATCAACAGATTTATAATTCTATACATTAAAAGTATATTTAAGAAAATCTTCATAAAAGTTTATTATACACTGATAAGTCTTATTGTTTCACTGATTACAGTTTATCACATCGCAAATAAATCAATTATTAATGAGGTTAAATATAAAATATGAACAACATTAATAACTAAAATAAATAAGAGTAACATGATGTACAGATCAGAAAACATCATTTTGCAAAACTGAATAACCGACTACAAATGAACATTTAAATTCTAAGATATTGATATTAGAAAACAATGCTTTTAATTCTTACAATACTATAAGTAATACAGTCAGTTTAAATCATTGCCATTCTCCTTGTGAGCAAAGTATATAGTAATAGTAATAAGTCTCTTGCCAGTCATCATCTTGCTGTGGTCAGAGCTCAGTAATTCTGATGAAACACACAGAGTTATGCCAGCTGGAGCATCTGCTCCTGGTAGGTTCAACCCATGCCAGTGAGGTCTGTAAGGAGAAATGAAGCCAAGAATGACTGAACCCACATCTATGGAGATTAACCATGTGATAACATAATCAAAGCATAATATTGGCTTGAACGTCATTTAACAAGGTCTGCACTTGTGGATTAGGCAGAAAGCTCACATTCAAAAATATGTCACTGTCTCCTTAGCCACCAGTGGTGAAAGCAGCACTGGTCCAAGTATGGCTACTGCAATGCAAACACCAGTTGTGGGAAACTGACCAAACACTGATGTTTCTGAGGTAGTCCAATCACAGACCACTAAGGCAGCTAAACCATGCCAATGGATGAAATTGACATTGGAAATGAACAAGTTTATCATCCATACTTATTATGCAGTGCAGTCACAGTAGTAACCTATCATGGACTAAAATTGCATCCACAGATAGATGCAAATAAATCAAAAACACTCCAGAAGCCTGGCTGGCAAAGAAGATTAGAAACACAAATAAACAATAATTACACAACAGCAGGCTAACACAATATGCTAATATCAAAACATCATCTAAATTAATGAAACTAAAAAATAATTTTTTTAAAGAATATTAAAACACACACAAAGCATGAACAATACAATGTCCACCATCACAGAATATATTGACACACTCAAACAAAAACTTGCAGCCAAAGCATGACAACTCAAACATTACAAAATTTGCTCTGTACGGAAACAACAAAAGTGATTTATAATGAAAAATCTTCTACAGGCAAATTAATACCAAATCCACTACTGATTCCCAACACAATGGCATGCCAACTGAAGAATAGAGAGGTTGAGGCGCACGTTTTAAACGTGTAAACGTGTACATGTGACGTTTGGCGCCGCTTTCCCGTAAGCCTAAAAGTTTGACAATGGTGTTTGGATAGTCGGTGGAATCACGCTCGACATTTCAAACACCATCGTCAAACTTTTAGGCTTACGGGAAAGCGGCGCCGAACGTCACAAGTACACGTTTACACGTTTAAAACATGCGCCTCAACCTCTCTAATAACTCACAAATTATTGGTCTTCTCTTTGGTCTAATGCTGTCAAGCATAATGCTGATACAAACTTGATCAAAGAGGAGAGCAAGGACATACAGGACACACCTAGTATGCACTGTGTTGAAATAAATGCACAAGACATCCATTGCACAATGCAGAAAGCACACAACTGGACAACACCTGGTGTAGACAACATTTACAGTTTCTGGTACAAACAATTCACATCCCTGCACCTGAAACTAGTAAAAATTTAACTTTTATAACCATCAACAATCCACAAGACATGCCAAATTTTCTCATGCAGGGCATCACCCACATGAAACCAAAGACCTTGCACAATACAGACTGATGTCTTCCAACAATTAACAAGATTCTTATCTCTTGCATTGCAAACAAAATATACTGTACAATCATATTGATGTACACATCATTCCTGTAGAACAACAAAAAGGCTACAAAGAAAAATTACTCATTGATTCTGTTATCCTGCAGCAAGTTCATAAGAAACACAAACATATACATTTATACATTGATTACAGAAAAGCATTCGACAGTGTTCTCCATACTTGAAACTTCGACATTGTTCTCCATTCTAATTTTGTAGATGAAAAGTGTGTGCGTGCAGCAGTCAAGTGGAAAACAACATTACATCTTAACCTTCATAACACTCACATAAAAACAAATCAAATATACATCAAGCAAAGAATTTTTCAAAAAAATTCCTTGAGTCCTCTTTGGTTCTACCTTGCACATAATCTTTTATCTAACACGGAAATCAAAACACACTATGGTTACAATATCAGACACAAAACAACATTGTTCACATTATCACACCTCATGTACATGGATGATATCAAACTTTGCACATAAACACAGAATCAGCTTTATCATCTCTTATAAACTACATATACACACACACACATACTCAAATGATACATAAATAGAATTTGGTCTAGCCAAATGCAAAACACTCCACATTGAAAAAGGTGTTCTGAAGAAAGGAGACTTTAAACTCAGAAGTGGAGATACTATTGAATCCATGGAAGAGGGCAAAGTTTACAAATATTTAGGAGTCCAACAGGCCAAACTTACAGAACATGCACAGATAGGGTACATTCGTAAAGTCAAATGAGTTAAATGTGTTAGTAATGAATCGTTCTAAAAGTAGTAGTCTCGCTCAGTGCGCATGCTCCGTGGTGATGACATTTCAAACAAAACTCTAACGAAGTTCATGAAGGAAAGAGTTAGTTCACTTCATTAAGAAAATGGCACCCAATGATATAGATGTTTCTAAATCCACTCAAGTGTTTAAACTGTGAATTAAGATGTGAAATGATAGAAATAACTGTCCACCCGAAGCAATCTAAGAAAAATATTTCAGATAAGGCTGCACTAGCAACATTCATATCTTCAATTTTAGAAACAGCCATTTAGTTGTAAACGAATCATTCGAAAAGTCTAATGAAATAAGAATAACGATGACGTCATTCTCGTTTAACTCGTTCGACTTTACGAATGTATCCATAAAAAAAATTAACACTCAAATACCAGAACAGATTACATACAGTTCTAAGAACACACCTAAATGCAAAACATACTATTAAAGCTATTAATACATATGTTGTTCCTGTACATGTTAGTACTGGGACAAAACTTATTCTTTTGGAGTTATACACTTGATACACACAGATCTCAAGCAACTCCAAAAGAAAAAAAAACACTAAGCATAAACAGTATCATGTGAAATCATCCATAGAAAGACTAACTCTTCCTCGTAAAGAAGGTAGCCATGTCTTGACTAATACAGTTAACTTGCACTACAAACAAATTCCGACACTGCAGGAGTTTTTCTACAAAAAACAAGAAACATCAAAATTACATAAAGCTATAAGTCTAAATAACATAAGACACTATTAAGCAGTCATGAGCCCAAAAGGCATTTTATGGCAGGCTTGCCTATGACCTAGCTCAGGATTATGTCAACAAAACTGCATCAAACTACTGGCTGACTAGAGGCTGTCTGGAGAGGGGGAGAGGTTTATGAGTACAATTCAAAATCAGGTCAAACACTAAAAACTACAGAAAACACATCCTGAAGAATACATCACTCACAAATGACTCTTGCAGAAAATGCCAGAAACAATACAACATATAGGCATAATCAAGTAGCAAATATAATACACCAAGAGCTTGCACAGTACAGATTATTAAACATTCAGGTACCATACTATAAATATACTCCAAAAGCAGTATTAAAAAACGACACACAAAATATTCTATAACAGAGCCATATTCACAAATAAAATAATTCATCACAACAAACCTGATATCACATTCAAATGCAGTAAGATCACTTATATAATAGACATTGCCATTCCAAACACTCATAACATGAAAAATGCATACACTGAAAAAATAAACAACTAAACTCCACTTGTCCAAGAAATAAGGCAGCTGTGAGGATGGATAAGATATTTATTGTACCTGTTATCCTCTCCTCTACTGGTGTTATACCAAATAAACTACACAAAAGTCTAGAAACATTACATTAATAAAAACACATACATGGCACTACAGAAAGCTGCAAAACTGAACATGCCTCATTGGTAGGAAGTTTCTAGATGTTGACA